TTTGGTTTCGATCATGGTAGACTTTTTTTTTTTAAAAATATCGATTTTTTATTTATATTAGCATTCTTTATCATTTATAATACCTGGATATGTTTTAAAAATTTAATTTAAATTAATTTTGGTTTCGATCATAGTAGGCTTTTTTTTCAAAAAATATCGATTTTATATCAATATTAGCATTCTTTATCATTTATAATACCTGGATATGTTTTAAAATGCAATTTAAAGCATTTTTGGTTTTGATCAAAGTAGGCTATTTTCAAAAAAATATCGATTTTATATCAATATTAGCATTCTTTATCATCTATAATATCTGGATATGTTTTAAAAAGCAATTTAAATCAATTTTGGTTTCGATCATGGTAGACTTTTTTTTTTAAAAAATATCGATTTTTTATTTATATTAGCATTCTTTATCATTTATAATACCTGGATATGTTTTAAAAATTTAATTTAAATTAATTTTGGTTTCGATCATAGTAGGCTTTTTTTTCAAAAAATATCGATTTTATATCAATATTAGCATTCTTTATCATTTATAATACCTGGATATGTTTTAAAATGCAATTTAAATCAATTTTGGTTTCGATCATGGCAGGCTTTTTTCAAAAAAAAATATCGATTTTATATCAATATTAGCATTCTTTATCATTTATAATACCTGGATATGTTTTAAAAATGCAATTTAAATCAATTTTGGTTTCGATCATAGTAGGCTTTTTTTTCAAAAAATATCGATTTTATATCAATATTAGCAATCTTTATCATCTATAATATCTGGATATGTTTTAAAAAGCAATTTAAATCAATTTTGGTTTCGATCATGGTAGACTTTTTTTTTTTAAAAATATCGATTTTTTATTTATATTAGCATTCTTTATCATTTATAATACCTGGATATGTTTTAAAAATTTAATTTAAATTAATTTTGGTTTCGATCATAGTAGGCTTTTTTTTCAAAAAATATCGATTTTATATCAATATTAGCATTCTTTATCATTTATAATACCTGGATATGTTTTAAAATGCAATTTAAATCAATTTTGGTTTCGATCATGGCAGGCTTTTTTCAAAAAAAAATATCGATTTTATATCAATATTAGCATTCTTTATCATTTATAATACCTGGATATGTTTTAAAAATGCAATTTAAATCAATTTTGGTTTCGATCATAGTAGGCTTTTTTTTCAAAAAATATCGATTTTATATCAATATTAGCAATCTTTATCTTTTATAATACCTGGATATGTTTTAAAATGCAATTTAAAGTATTTTTGGTTTTGATCAAAGTAGGCTATTTTCAAAAAAATATCGATTTTATATCAATATTAGCATTCTTTATCATCTATAATACCTGGATATGTTTTAAAATGCAATTTAAATCAATTTTGGTTTCGATCATGGCAGGCTTTTTTCAAAAAAAAATATCGATTTTATATCAATATTAGCATTCTTTATCATTTATAATACCTGGATATGTTTTAAAAATGCAATTTAAATCAATTTTGTTTTCGATCATAGTAGGCTTTTTTTTCAAAAAATATCGATTTTATATCAATATTAGCATTCTTTATCATCTATAATACCTGGATATGTTTTAAAATGCAATTTTAATCAATTTTGGTTTCGATCATAGGAGGCTTTTTTTTTCAAAAAATATCAATATTTTATCTATATTAGCATTCTTTATCATTTATAATACCTGGATATGTTTTAAAATGCAATTTAAAGCATTTTTGGTTTTGATCAAAGTAGGCTATTTTCAAAAAATATCGATTTTTTATCAATATTAGCATTCTTTATCATTTATAATACCTGGATATGTTTTAAAAATTTAATTTAAATTAATTTTGGTTTCGATCATAGTAGGCTTTTTTTTCAAAAAATATCGATTTTATATCAATATTAGCATTCTTTATCATTTATAATACCTGGATGTGTTTTAAAATGCAATTTAAATCAATTTTGGTTTCGATCATAGTAGACTTTTTTTTCAAAAAAATATCGATTTTATATCAATATTAGCATACTTTATCATTTATAATACCTGGATATGTTTTAAAATGCAATTTAAAGCATTTTTGGTTTTGATCAAAGTAGGCTATTTTCAAAAAAATATCGATTTTTTTATCTATATTAGCATTCTTTATCATTTATAATACCTTGATGTGTTTTAAAATGCAATTTAAAGCATTTTTGGTTTTGATCAAAGTAGGCTATTTTCAAAAAATATCGATTTTTTATCAATATTAGCATTCTTTATCATTTATAATACCTTGATGTGTTTTAAACATGCAATTTAAAGTATTTTTGGTTTTGATCAAAGTAGGCTATTTTCAAAAAAATATCGATTTTGTATCAATATTAGCATTCTTTATCATTTATAATACCTGGATATGTTTTAAAAATTTAATTTAAATTAATTTTGGTTTCGATCATAGTAGGCTTTTTTTTCAAAAAATATCGATTTTATATCAATATTAGCATTCTTTATCATTTATAATACCTGGATGTGTTTTAAAATGCAATTTAAATCAATTTTGGTTTCGATCATAGTAGACTTTTTTTTCAAAAAATATCGATTTTATATCAATATTAGCATTCTTTATCATTTATAATACCTGGATGTGTTTTAAAATGCAATTTAAATCAATTTTGGTTTCGATCATAGTAGACTTTTTTTTCAAAAAAATATCGATTTTATATCAATATTAGCATACTTTATCATTTATAATACCTGGATATGTTTTAAAATGCAATTTAAAGCATTTTTGGTTTTGATCAAAGTAGGCTATTTTCAAAAAAATATCGATTTTTTTATCTATATTAGCATTCTTTATCATTTATAATACCTTGATGTGTTTTATAAATGCAATTTAAAGCATTTTTGGTTTTGATCAAAGTAGGCCATTTTCAAAAAAATATCGATTTTTTATCAATATTAGCATTCTTTATCATTTATAATACCTGGATATGTTTTAAAATGCAATTTAAATCAATTTTGGCTTCGATCATAGTAGGCTTTTTTTTTCCAAAAAATACCGATTTTATATCAATATTAGCATTCTTTATCATTTATAATACCTTGATGTGTTTTATAAATGTAATTTAAAGCATTTTTGGTTTTGATCAAAGTAGGCCATTTTCAAAAAAATATCGATTTTTTATCAATATTAGCATTCTTTATCATTTATAATACCTGGATATGTTTAAAATGCAATTTAAATCAATTTTGGTTTCGATCATAGTAGGCTTTTTTTTCAAAAAAACCGATTTTATATCAATATTAGCATTCTTTATCATTTATAATACCTGGATATGTTTTAAAATGCAATTTAAAGCATTTTTGGTTTTGATCAAAGTAGGCTATTTTCAAAAAATATCGATTTTATATCAATATTAGCATTCTTTATCATTTATAATACCTGGATATGTTTTAAAATGCAATTTAAAGCATTTTTGGTATTGATCATAGTAGGCTTTTTTTTCAAAAAATACCGATTTTATATCAATAGTAGCATTCTTTATCATTTATAATACCTGGATATGTTTTAAAATGCAATTTAGAGCATTTTAGCTTCAACGCAAAAGCTTGTAAGTTATTAGTTTCACGAAAAACACACTTTTTTTAATACAGCCTGAAGGACTCATTTTCCAAAACTCAAAGGGTACCAAAATGTGAGTAATAGGATACCGGATTTTTCTGTCCATAAACTTTTACATTTGGACATAATCTATGCCTTCAAAACGTCGAAAAACGTCTTTTTTTGGATTTTGAAAATTTCGAGCTTTGCTCGAACGAGAACAAATTTTCAAAATAAGCTTAAAATATCTGAAAGTTTAATTTTTTTTGAAGTTCTCGAGATAATCCACTCCGCTCCATTGCACATTGCTTCGCTCCGCTCAGGAATGTTCCATTCCACTTCATTCCGTTCCGCACAGCTCGTCCACTCCCCTTTCTATATCTAAGACTTTCATCAAAAGTATCCTTTCACAGACATTGAAAGCATCTGTAAACGTGTTATAGATGTGATATTTTATAAAATCTTTCACCTTAAAATTTTTCGACGAAACAAATAGTTTTAAAAGGTAATATTCTTATTTGGCAACTTTTATGTTATCTAACGTAAGTCAAGCGTTGAAGTTCGTGGCTTTCTACGTAAGTCGTGTTTTTTGTATTTCAGTTCAAGATTTTAAAACATTCCATAATTCATCAATCTCTATCCTTTATTTACAGAAACAAGAAGCAACAAGAACTATTTTTAAAAATTCCACAGAGACTTTTCTAGCTGCACCATTTGATAATATCAATGAATGAAAAATATCCTTAACACGCCCCCATTATCAAAATAAAAGAAATAATTCATTGGTTTTAAAATTCTATCACCGTAAATCACTTATCCATTCAATCTGATACTTCTTGATGTATGGCTATCCTTTAGGGTATACAAATGTCAATTTGAATGACATGATAGAATTTGTCAAAAATCGATTGAATCAAAAAGACAATTTTTTATCAGTGACGGAAATAAATTTTCAACATTTACGTTTTGGACTTTTTTATATTCTTTTTGTTGCAGATTTGTTTCAGGGATCTGTTCAGCTATGATACCAAGGTTAAAATAGAAAAGAGAATAGGTTCTGAGCTTTTCCTGTTCTGTTATGACAATTTGGTACACAAGAACTCAATTCTTGACAAGGATTGAGATCTATGAGGGATAGTAGTGGACTGTTGGCCATATAAGTTATAAGGAATAAATGACATTCAACAAATATGGGGGAGGAAGTCTTGTAGGGTCAACAAAGATGAATGTTATTCTTTGCTCTGTATAATTCAAGGCTCTTGTTCCAATTTTTGGAGTAAACTTTTAATGCTTTAGCCCGTTCCATCAATTTCCCATTTTATACTGCTCCTACATATAACGATTATCTTGGGCCGAATTTTAACACTTCGTAGAGCACTACATCCCTATAGAATCCAACACTAAGCTTTTGAAGTGTCAAAACTTCTGAAAAACACAAATTTGGTCATATTTGAACAACCCCTCTAACCAGTAAAATATTTCGTCAAATTTGACACGATTATTAATATATCCTCGGTAGTCTAGTGGTGAGTATCACTCCATTTATCATTTGTCGACTCAATGGACGTTGATCAGATTCCATGTCGCATTGGAACTGTAATTGAATAAAACATTTTGTTTTTACTTTAAATTTTTATTTCTCGACAAATGAAATAGTTTTTAAAATACAATGTTCACGTACTGTTCTTCCTCTTAATTTAATTTAATATTTTCATCGTCTAAAAGGAATTGGAGATGTATAAAGGAAAGAAATTCAATAAAAATCACTGCATTTTACAGTTGGAAACGTGAAGGAATTCCAATTCTTCTAATTAGAGTCTCACAACTTAATTATTTCTGTCTATAGACTTGAAACAATGTCAAGTAAAGTTTTTTTGTGATATTACATTTCATTTATCATGCGAGATTTACATTATACATTCAGTTAAACAGTAAGTAAGTAGTCTAAAGTCAATAATAAGTGTTTATACGCGTCTTAATGATTAAAATTTTAGAAATTATATGTCAAAAAGTCTCTCCTTAATTAGATTGTAAAACAATAATTTAATTTATATTAAATTTGAGATGATGAGTTTAAGTTGGAATTGCGCCTACTGCTGGAATTGGATTATTATTAGAATTCGGTGCTTGTGGCGGTAATTGTTGGACATTTTGAATTATTGGCGCTGTAGTGTCATTTGGAGGTGGTCCAGATGGAGCTGGAGCTGCTTGTTGACTCGGAGGTAATGGATTCTGTCCAGGAGCTAATGGTTGATGAGGAATTGGTGCTCCAGGCTGCAAAGTTGGTGGTCCAGCTTGATGATTTGGATTTGGATTTTGCCATGGACCGTGTTCTTGTTGGAATCGTTGATGTGCTTGTTGTCGTGCACGGAATTCAGCAGCTTTCAATTGTTCTAAATGGAATTGTTGTCGTTCCTGTATTAGCTGTTGTCTTTGATACTCTAATCCCTCACGTTCCCGTTCCATTGTTGTTTCTAATTCCTCAAAATGTCTCAATTTAATCTCCAACTTTTTCATTTGTGTCTCAACGAGCAATGCAACCAAACTTTTGATTTTCCTTTCTTCAACAGCTGCTAAATGTTTTGCTTTGACTGCTGCTGATGCCAATGCAGCTGCAGCAGCCGATTGCAAGTTTCCTTCATTAAATATCTTTCTGGATTCAACATTTTCATCCTTTTCTTCGCCATCATGCTTCTCGTCAGACTTCTTTTCACCATCAATTGCCTCGGTTTTGACTGCACCGTCTTTATCTGTTATTTCAGAATCAGATTTTTTAGTATCATCTTCCTTCTCTTGAGTCTCATTTGGAGACGATTCTTTTTCTTTTTCTTTAATATCTGATTATTTTCAATTCAATTTTTTAAGCATTGCATGAGTTTTAAAGAAGCGCAACATAAAACAACATAGCGATAGAAAGAAACAAAATAAAATCAAAATAAAGACATTAGCAAAATGAGAAGCATAAATTAGCATAAAAAAATGTACAAGACAAGGAACAAATTACAATTAATAAGAGTCGATCTGAGTCAAATCAATGAATTTATAATAGAATCTATTAATTCAATCGTTGGACTCAAGTCAGGCAATCGTTTTGTCCGTCAATAAGATACATCAAGTCTTTCAAATCCAAATTACCCTGGGCGATTCTCCAGAAGAATTGAATTTTTCAAAAGTGAATTGTAATTTTTCTTTTACTTGACACTTCAAATTTGAGAAAACCGTTAAAAAATATCTGTTTCAAACGATTTTTTCCGGTTCTGTGGTCAATTGTTGGTTGAAAATTTAATTTATATGCATTTTAATGATTATTATAAGATATAGTTTAGATCATTAACATTTTTGTGCCAAATAAACTACTGAAAGTTTTAAAATCTAAAGGTTTTTATCAAATTTTAAATTTTTCGTTGAGCAGATTTTCCCCTATAAAGCGTTTGCGTTGCTCGGCAACATTGAATTTTGTTCGAAAATTAAAGCATTAAATCAAAGATGTGTTATTTAAATATGATAAAACTAAAGACGATCTACCATTTAGTATGTATTAAGTGCAATAAAAATAATTCTTTGATAGTAATTTTTTGATTCTTCGTAATTGAATTCCATTTTTGGTTGCCGAGCAACGCTTAAAAAAATTTAAAAAACTAATGATTTAAGCTTAATTATGATTTCTAAATGACTTTAAGAGATAGAATTTGGAAAAATACATCTGTTTTAATTAAGAACAAACATGCTTTATTGGGAAAATTTAAAGAAAAATCAATTTAAAAGGGACTTTTGGCTGATTTCCCCGCTGGAGAATCGCCCCAGTTTTAGATTCAACGATCGAAATTAATTTGAAATTTTGATCCAATTTGAACTTTAATAAATTTTGAATTTCAAAAACCCGTTAAATTTCAAATATTTTTTATCCGTTAAGGTTAATGCCAGTCAATCAAGTAAATTGGACAAAACAAAGCAAATAATAATGCGTAGGAATGTCGCCAACTAAGAATAAATACAAATAACTTCATACCTGAGTCTTTCTTTGTAGCATCTTTCATTTCTACATCCTCACTTCCTGTCTTTTCCTTGTCGCCTTCAACATTTTCATCCTTTTCTTTCTCAGGAGCAGTTCCGGCAATTCCACTTGTTGTAAGTCCAGCAAATGGATCAAATTTACCACCAAAGTTTGTTTTTTCGACATTTTTAAAATGTGCATCCATCATAGAAGCTGGAACTTCATCCTTAATAGCTGCAAATTCTTCCATAGCTGCTTTTGCAGCACTTGCAGCTATTCGTGGATCAACAACAGATGCTAAAAATGCAACAGTTGACATAATTGGATTTCCTGCTTTACTAAATGGAATTGGTTGATAACTAAGTGGACCCAAGAATGTATTGTCATCTTCAAGGTACGGATCCTCAATTGGGAGTCTCAAGAAATGAAGTATACATTCGTCTTGTGTCCTTGATCCAACATGTTCACAAACTTTATTCCAATCATCTTTATACATTTCCAAGCCTTCAAGCAAAAGTAATGTCTCCTGATCATTCCATTCACGTGACATACTTGCAGCTGTTTTATTCTTCATTGCTGCTGGCTTTTTCATATATTGATCTAGTCTTAAACCAAATTGTGCACCTGGTGCAATTTCACCAGGCTCTTGTTTAACTGTTGCTGTTGGAACTACGCCATTTTCGCCTTCCTTTTTCTCGCCACTACCAGCAATTATTGGTTTCTTGTCTAAATCAAGCAATGCCTTACTTGCTGCCAACGGTTGTGGAACTTTTTGTGGATTAATTGGCTGTAAACCGCAAGGTGTGTCACTCAAAACATGGAAATGAGATGTTGGTGGCGGTCCCATAGCTGTTGGACGAGATTCAGCATCAATTTGATAATTAATTAATCCCCATTGTTCCAAGAATGCATGAACTCTCATAATTGCACAAACATCACCAGCTAAATTTCGTCTACATGCTGTGCTTGTCAAATATTCCGTTGGATTTAGTCGATACGTATCAATCATGAAGTTACGATATGCCAGATAAATTTCAGGCGTTTTAGACTTGTTCTTAGCATTAAAGAATTCAGGCAAAGCACGTTTTTCAACAATATGAATTGAATTGTAATCAAACCATGCTGAATATGAAGGAATAATAATATGATGTGTTTGTTCTGTGACATTATTATCTTCAACATCATCCTTATTGGCAAAATCTTGTGTATTGCTGTTTTCACTTGCCTTTCCAGTCTGTGAATCATCACCACGTTCCGTTTCCTCGTCAAGATCTTGAACTGTACTTCCTTTAAGCGGTGCCATATCTGGATCACGTTTAGTTATTGTTGGAGTTGCTGGACCTGATGTTGTATTACTTACTGATGGCTTAACTTCTTGAACATTTGGTTCTGCTGGTGGATCGTCCAAATCTTTCGTTAAATCCTCAGATTCTTCGTCATCATTACGAGTTTTCTTTTGTTGAAAAACAGCAGGCGATCTACCTGATTTCCTCTTTTGTCCTTTCGGTGATGGCGATCGTTTACGTTTTCCTTTTGATGCCATTTGTTTCTTTGATTTATCGCCTTCTGCAGACATTAAATCTTCAACGGAAAGCCTTAATTTATGTACTTTCTTTCTGCCTTGCTCATCAACTTCATAATCTTCTTCAGACATCCATTCATTGTACTGATCTAAATCACGTACCCATTGAGCAGATACACGCCAACGTTCAGCTGGAGATCCAGGACATTCAGGGACATTATCAGGTAAATCAAAGTTATTTGGAACCCATGAATCATAAGATTCTGGAAAATAATACCAATGAAGTAATACATTCTTGTCACGTTTGAATATTGGACGTGCATACTCTTCAGGCAATGGATCAGCATCAGGATGCACAATATGTGTTGCATCTTCTTCTTCTTCAGTTATTTCCGCTTGATGATTAGTAATAATCTCACGAATTTTAGCAGCTAATGCACGATCGACATCTGGTCGAATATAAATGATTGGTAATCTAAAGATTTCAGCATCAATCAGTGCTGATTCAATTTCTAAGAGCATCTGAATGTTTGGATCTTTCTTTGACGTTGTCTACAATAAGATAGCAGTTATATTATATATCTTATTAATCGACATAGCTAGTACATACCTTGCTTACTGTGAAATCAAACTTCCTCCAACGTTGTTCACTTTTAAATCGGTACATTGTTGACAATATGATACATAAAGCTCCACCAGGTTTGAAATCCAAGAAAAAGCGCATCTGAATAAGACCCAGACAAGTTAATTATAGCTTAATTTTACAATTTAATTAAGTACTCACCGGAAGTCTTGTTGTCATCGATGAATCTTGAGCATTCTTGCCAAGCTTAGTCTCTTGATATTGAACTAATTGTATAACAAGCTGAGATAGCGTTTCCTTAGTTGGTGGATCTGTTTGGACATACTGCAAACAGTAATATATCATTAATTATCGAGTTTCTTTTAAATATTCAGCCATTTTTTCCACTTTAAAATTTCACTTACCTTTTTATGATGTTTTTGTAGCCATAATCGAACAGTTTCAAAGCCTTGGAGTGACTCGGGCGATTGAAAAAAGTCAACATTCGGACTTCCATCCTTTTTCGGTCCCAAATTCATCGTATTTCGTTGATAAATTAATTATTTTTAAATTATTCTTTTTTGACGCTTGCTTTTTGTTGGGATAAGTTTGGTTTTTTTTTGAGGATTTGTGTAGTTTGAAAAATTTTTGAATTTTGAAAAGCCGTTAATTTTTGTTTACATTTTATAAAGTTTATTTACTTAAAATACACAATAAACCACTATTTGAAGTCATTTAACCATTTTATTTGACATGCATAAAAGCTAACGATCAGGTTGAAGTTATTTCATCATTAATATATGGTTCTAAATAGAATGTAATCAAATCGAGGACCCCCCCCCTAATAGTTGATTTCGGAAAAAAGTGAAAAAGTTAATTTAACTCGTTTAAAGGTATTTTATTAACATTATAACATTGTAAATTAGTAGTGTAAAGGTTATATAAGCTATGTTTAATGGAGAATCGTGAGAAAATAGCCTATTTTCGTGGAAAACCGTGAAAAAAGAAAAATTCAAAATGGTTGCTGAAAAGTGAAATTAAAATGTTGTTATTATTTAATTAATGACAGTTATGCGCTATAGTTTCGTGGTTTACGCGTTCCGTGACTGAATAAGTCGGTATTGAGTGACTAAATCGTAATAATTGTTGTTATTCAGGATTTAAATTTAGGTCGGTGAACTCTTAAAATCCAGCAAACAAGAGAAATGAACATAAAAAGCCTAAATGTTGCAGTATTCGTGGTTCTCAAAAATTGTCGCGTAGATTTTTGAAGAGATTTCGGTATTAGCTATTTCGTTACAAGCTCAAAAGTCGGTAATCGGTTCGTTCGTGTGCCTTAATACTCGATTAAGGACTTTGTGATATGATTTTATCCGGTATTCGGTATATATCTCGCGAATATAAATGTTCTTGATGTTAAAAAAATTTTAGTTTGAGAAATTATGAGATAATAATGATGAATAATAATCAACTATTTGTTACAGCTTAAAAAGCGTATTAATACTTTTGTGTGATACATATAAAATCGGTGTCTCGTTAAGAATGTCTGCGAGAAGACGTAGTCCATTCGATGGACCCGAAAGAATCGATCGCATTAAAGGAAACATGAGAATGGATCGTAAACCGAATGCTACAAGGATTTCTGGTAAGCCATAAGACCTAATATTAGTCAAATGACAGTCTAATCTAACATTTTAGCATTTCCTTACAAATCAGATCCTTCGCATCCTTATGGAAAGCGAAAGGAAATTGATAACGTGATGAAAAAGGCACGTCAACAACCAGCTAATGAATATTGGGATAAAAAGCTCTTGGAAGCTGAAGAAAAAGATCCTGGTCGATGGAAACATTCAGGATATAAAAAAATGTATGTTAACGGTGTACGTAGATCGCGTTCTCCTGGTGGTCCCGGAGGCTTAATTCGTAAAACTCCACCACAAAGGCACATGCAACAAATTCCCAACTATCCGATTCGTCGTCGTATACCAACGCCTGAAAAGTATCGTCCTAAATCTCCACCGTTACGTTATGCGCGTAAATCACCTCCCCAACCGCGTAATGATTTAAAACCGAAAGAAATTCCTTACCGTCCAAAACGACCAATGTCACCTCCCCCTCCCCCAAAGGTATGTCAAGCTTATATCTCATTACTTTTCATCTTAACTAGCATAATAATTGTATTTAAATTCAGGCAAGAACGCCATCAATCTCAAGTTGTTCCGATTCTCAATGTTCAGGCTGCTCAAGTGACGACGATGATCGTCGAATAATTGACAAGCGTCATAGAACTATGTCTCGTCACGGACCAATTAATAGAATGCGTCCAATGAGTCCTGAAGAAGTTGAGCACATTACTAAGAAGAAAGTTAAAGAAGTATCACCAAAACGTCGTCATTTAAAGCGACCAGCATCACCAGAGATTGAAAAAGCACGTCGTGAGATTGCATCTCCAATTTTAAGGAAAAAAGACAAGTCTGATAAGGTAAGGAATATCTGCATACTCAATTGTACTTAATTATTCAATGAATATTTACAGGCTCGTACCAGAATAAAGATTGAAGGTGAGAAAAGACGCAGAAGGTCCCCATCAAGTGGATCAGATGACTCAACAAGCAGCGGTGGAACTTTTTCAGCATTAACAGCAACAACTCGTATATCATTAAACGAGAGATTCGGTAAAATGGCACAATGGAATAATGATCGAAAATATGACATGAGTAATATGAAAATTACTAAGAATTCAGAAGGTGGCGATAGATCAGCGGTTATGATCCAGGAACAAAATCTCCGTGAATCGCCAATGAGATCATTTTCGTTCTCACAATATACGAAAGGTGAAGGACATTATCCAGAAGAACTATTGCAGCATTCAAGTGCTCAAGCGTTAGGTCTTAATGCTTGGGATGATGTTCGTGTACGATTTGATTATTACAAAAGTAAAGGATATTTGCGTGATTTGACACTTCAGGACTATATAAAGTGGGAAGAGTGGTGGTATCGATATCAAGAATGGCTTAAACAGGAACGATATTTCGAAATGATTGAACGAAATATGATGCGACGTAGAAGAAAGAAGATTCCCATTCAGCAGCGATTAAATTGAATGTAATGTAAGTATATAAGTTAGAGAATATTATTAACTACGGTAGCAGTTATGAGACAATTATTATCATTACTTATTGTTTATCTCATCAATCATCAAATATATTAAATTTCTTAATCATTTCCTATTGCATTTTCTTGAGATTAGACAGATCAGTGGAAAGTTCAAGAGTAATTATTATTGATTAATGCCCATAAACTTATTTAAGAATGAAAATAAAGTATAATTTCTTGAACTGAAGCTCTCTGTGCCTTACTTGTTCAAAGCTTGCAGAATCGTGAAATAACGGTCAAAAAATATTTGAAATGCAAGTCCACAGAAAAACTACAAAAAGTTAAGTCAATTTTACGTAAGCAGTTCGTAACACAAAAAACCAGCAACTTATGCTTAGTATTAAACAAATAGACAATTTCTTAAAGTTTTATTCTCTTTACATTTAAATGATAACTTCTTCCATATATGACCATAAAGCCTTAATTATTCATATCAACATGTCAATTTTGGAAGTTTGTAAAGAACTGAGGTTGATATTGCGGATGGAAATGAAAGTATTGTTGACTTTGAATCTGAATTTGAGGTTGAGCTTGCGATGTTTGTGGCTGCATTTGAGGAACTTGAGATTGTACATTATTAGAATTATGCTGCTGGACATTACTATAAGTTTGTTGTTGCTGCAATATTTTTTGGTAGTTTGGATTGCTATTAATCCTCTCTTTTGCATCAGCAAGATCCTTAAGACCAATAGAATTAGTAAATGGATTAATCTTTTTGCATCTCGTGACTTTATGCTTAGCTAAGCTTTCAAGACTTCCACACGGCATTAAACAGTCAAGACATCGAACTTGGTGCCTTCCTTTGTCACAGCTATGTCTAATGAATGTGTATAAATCCCAGTATGAAGCTCCACATTTTTCACAGTCATAATAATTAGTTTCTTCATTGACTCGATGTCCATCATCCTTGCCATCTGGATGATACTTCTTCATATGCATTTCTAGAACATTTGTATGCTTCATGTTCCTGTATAGCTTCTTTTTACAGATCGTACATACATCTCTTACTGAAGGTATCTTTAAATGTGTACGTCTTATGTGCTTAGCAAGCAATCCTTTTGTTACCCAACCTTTATTGCACATATCACATTGATACATCGTTTCAGGATCATGCTTCATCACGTGATATTTAAATGCTGATGGATCACCGAATGCTTTCGAACAGACATGACATAAATATTGTTTTTCAGCATGTACGCGTCTCTTGTGTCTCTCAAGATTATTTTCTTGAACTATAAAGGAACAAATATCGCAGGCAACTTTCGCATTCTTATTTTCAGGCTTTTTACGCTCATATTTTCGTGGATCTGCTGGTACTTTTGTCATGTCAAAAGGCTGATAGTTCTTTAATGTTTCTGATGGTGGATGTACATCCTCTCGATGTTTCAGAAGCTTCGTGACGTCATCATAATACTCATCACAGGTAAAACATCGAAAGACATACTTAAGATTCTTATCCAGTTCCTTCTTGTTTTTATCAAACTCTCTAGTTCCATCTTTGATTGATTGAACTCTATTTTTTAATACATTCTTGATATCTTGTGCCTTATCGGTCGAAGTGCTTGCAGCTAGTTTTTTTAATGGCACGTCATAGTCAGAATCGGAATCAAGTGATATTGTGTCTATAATATCTGCAATTACAGCTTCGATTTCCTCGTCTGAACTTGTCATTGGATCTGGAATTTCTGCTAAGTAGCTATTTGAGTTGTTTACGATGGTTACTTCCGTTATTTTTGGAACTGGCTTTTGAGGCTTTGGCTTTTCACTTTGTCCGATGTAAATTGGCGTATTTAGTGGTAATAAGCAACTGGAACTGATTTTTCTCTTTTTCTTCTTGTTTGGAACTTTCTTTACAGTCACGACATTCTTGATTCTGTCCATGATTTCATTGTAGCTTCTATTTTTTGATGCATCTGTCTTTCTTTCTTTATTCCCAATCAATAAAGCTAGTTGCAACTTTGTGTTATTAATCTGATGCTGTGCTGTTGTTAAACCAGTCGAATGGAACTGATCGTAATGATATCTTAGTTCCAATCCAGTTTTACAGTTTGTCTTGCAGTAAAAACACATAAAGAAGCTGCAAGTCTGTTCGTCGTGCTTAGTCTCATAATGTCGATCAATTTCATTTTTGTCGTTGAATGTTTTATCACATATACCACATATTATGGATACTTTGTCTATTGAATGGAACTTGTTGACGTGAAGCGTCAATAGTGGCTTATTGGAACTGATGAATGGACATTGTCGACATGGGAAGTAATGATTACCGTCAATATGCTCAATTAGTGATATTCTCTCGTTCGTTTTAAAGTAGCAATGCTTACATCTGAATTGAGTCTTAATGTCATTTCCATCATTAAGCTTCTTTACTTTGCTGATTATGCTTGGAGGTAATTTAACGATTCTAGGGAGTTTAGATCTATCACTAGGTTTTTCAATACTTTCAGACACAACAACAACACAGTCATCATCACTTTCATTGTTCTGGATATCCTTAAATCTCAACTTCTTGTGCTTTTCCTTAATCTCTGTCTTAAAAATTTGATAAGTTTGAAGAAAATTGCTGCAGGATTCACAGATTTGATCTTTTACAGGCTATAAATAAATGAATCAATAGTAATTAATTGCTAATTAACAGGATAAGCCTATAGTTACTTCATAACCAGTTACTGCCTTAAAATTATCAGAATTCTGTTTTGATAACTGGATCTTTTCATCTTTTAACTTTTCCAGACATATTCCACATGTATCAACTACCACATTCTCAACTTCATCAATTATATCGAGTGTTGGAACTGCCAATGGCTCTAAATACCTCTCTATTACTACATCTTTTGATGAAAAGTGATTGTCACAAACATAAAATGAAGATTCTGTTGTTTTGATGATTTCCTGCCATTTCTTCAATATTTCATCGTCTGATGGTGAGCAGAATAGATTGTTTGTTGTACTTCCACAGTTCTTGATTACACATTTATTCTCTTCCATGACTTAATTGACGATTTTACAATTCATAATATTTTTATTTTTTTTTATCTTTTCAACAAATGACGCTATTTTCAGCGTTTTGTCCGTCTGTAGAGTTTTTTTCTCCACCAGTTTAAGCTTTTTTGATGCGGTTTTAATATGTGTATTGTGTCTGGCAAGAGCTGACCAAAAAACAGAATGATTGAAGCACAGGAAGGTTGATTAAATTAAGTTTTTAAAATTTCACCTTACGTTTTACGTACGTATTACACGCTTTTTTACGCAACCCTTAAAAGGTTACTTTCCTTACTGTAGTGGCTCTTCCTGAATATGAAATCGATGCCATTTTTGATTCCAAGGGCTGCAAACCCATAAATGGAAAAATGCGCTTGGGTCGATCACGTGTGATCAACTCAACTAGTTTTTTACTTTATACGATTTCAAAAATGTCGAAACTTCAAAATTAGTTTATACGAGTTTAGTCGGAAAATAAACAATTGCCGCAACACCAACAACAATAGAGAAAAAGCTTTAATTCACGAATTACGATGGCTACAGCACAAAAGAGACTTGAGCAATTACAGGAACATTTCCGTACACATAATAAGGTCCGAGAACAGCGACAACATTCATCAAAAGTTCATTCAGTACGATTTAATTGTCTTGGAACGAAATTGGCAAGCGGTTCAAATGATAAATCTGTTGTAATATACGCATTAAGCGATAGACTGTCAAAGGAAAAAACTTTTTATGGACACAATGGTCCAGTTGATCAATTAACATGGCATGGATTTAATCCTGACCTATTAGCGACTGCCTCTGGCGATAAAACTGTAAATAACTCCATTTGCTGGATCTTTAAAATCCTCTTTTATTAATGAAAATATCCTTTCAGGTCAGAATTTGGGATACAAGAACATACAAAAGTGTCAGTACAATCAATACAAAAGGAGAGAATATTAATATAACATGGTCAAGAGATGGAAACACGATTGCTGTTGGAAATAAGGAAGATCTAATAACATTCATTGACACAAAGACGAATAAGATACGTGCTGAAGAAAAGTTCAATTTTGAGATCAATGAGATTATGTGGAATAAGACATCAGATCAAATGTACCTGACTAGTGGGCAGGGAAGTATTCATGTCTTAAGTTATCCGAATTTAGAGCTCCTTAATGTATTAAAAGCACATCCAGCAACATGTATATGCATAGATTTTGATCAATCTGGAAAATATTTTGCAGTCGGTTCTGCTGATGCTCTAACATCAATTTGGGATACAGAGGAACTGACATGTCTACGAGTTTTATCACGTCTCGATTGGCCAGTAAGAACTGTATCATTCAGTCATGACAGTCGACTTCTTGCTTCAGCATCTGAGGATCATTTTATTGACATTTCGTGTATTGAGACTGGAGAACGAGTTTGTGAGATTAAATTGGAATCTGCCACATTTTCAATATCCTTCCATCCAAAACAATATCTGCTTGCTTATGCTTGTGACGACAAAAAAGATGATGGACGAGATGCTGGCAATTTTAAAATGTATGGATTCGCTGATTAGTGCATTGATGTATCAGATTAATTACCATTTTTTTTTTTTTTTTTTTTGAATAAATTAACAAAGTGATGAGCTAATGTAGTTTTGGTGTATTTGCTGGTTCAGGCTTAATGCTTGAGAACCTTTCAACAGTTAAAATATTTGAGCATCCTTCAACAGCTAAAAATTTGAGATCCCTTCAACAGTTTAAAATTTGAGAAACTTACAAATGTTATCAAAATCGCATAATTTGTAACGTTTTCAATTTTGAAATTAGAAAACCTTTATTCTCAATTATCCAGACAATTTTATTAAAACATAAAGCACATAGATAAATAAGTAATGTCTCTAATTGGTTCCTTCCGCTTTATTAAAATCCCTCATTGACATTTGATGTTGACTTCGTACATGCTTTCCAAGTTGCTTCCTATTCTTATACATTTTATTACAGACTGGACATTGTAGTTCGCCAGAATGCATTTGATTCATGTGTACTTTAAGCCTAAGAATTGATTTCAAAACACATTTACATGATTTACAAGGGAAACGACCTACAGTTCTAGAACCGACTTTCTTAGTGACATCCACTTCACATTCACCGACAATGGAGCAGTTATTACGTTGTACATGTCGATCATAAAATTTTAAGCTACTAAAGTTCTGTACACACGTTGGACAGTGATAAAGATTTGTTAATGGATTGACTCGAACTCCACTATCGTAATTGTTTGGATGGTACTTTCTCATATGATCATCATAAATAGGTATATCTCTTTTTAAACATATTGGACACTCAAAAGTCTCGTTATTTCGATGCTTACTCATGTGAGCTAATAAAGAGCCTTTTGAATTTAACGTATTTCCACAAATATCACATTCGCAAATTATATTGATTTTAGGAGCTGCGTGCTTAGTTCTTTTATGCATGCTAAGCGCTGGTTTTGATGAAAATACAAGTCCACAAACTTCACATATTTCATTCCTCACACCTACATGTCTTTCTTTATGATGATCTCTAAATCGTAGGTATTGCATCGTTTTCTCACAATCTGGGCATTTTATAGGAATTGTAGCAATTACATCTCGATGCTTCCTCATACACTTAATAAAGTCCTCTTTTGAATACGAATTTAAGCATACTGTACACCAATATTTCGTTCCATTTCCATGCATTTTAGTCTTATGATGTCCAAGCCTTAAGCTGTCACCAAATGCAACATATGAATCACATTCATCGCAGATATATTTTGTGTCAACGAGTGTTTTTTGGTGCACTTTCTTGCATCTCTTCATGACAACTTCACGATCATAAGTTCTATGACATATACAATAATACTTATTTTCTTTATGATTTAGATTCTTGTGAAAACCAAGCATGACAATTCCTTTACAGTTCTTTTCGCAATATGGGCAAACATAGATTCTATCCTTATCAAAATGTGCCTTAAAATGCTCAATGAGCAGTTGTCTGTCAGTAAAGACTTCTCTACAAATATCACATTCTTTAGACTGCTTGATTCCAACAAATGCATGAGGATCATCAATTTCAAGTTTTAAATCATATTCAGGCTCATCTGTGTTCCTATCTGATCCATGAATTACTTTGATGTGCTTAACAAATTCATCTCGATCAAAACTTGTAAACTTGCAGATTTCACACGTTCTAATTCTCATTCTCGTTCTTATTCTTTTTGGTTTCGATTTAGGCTTTTCATTAGATTCTGATTCTGATTCAAATTCCTGTTCTGATTGACTGTAATATTCAGTTTTTACAAAAATAGTATCATGTTCAATTGGCTTAGTTTCTTTTTCTTCGACGATGCCATACTCTTCAGGCTCAATCTTTATTAACGGTTCCTTCAAATCGAAATCCATCGACTCAAAATTTCTCCGATTATCCTCGACAATCTTGATAAAGTCACTGATTTGTATCATCTTTTCATTACAGTTTGAGCACATATACTCTCCATTAAGCTATAAATACAAGAAGTAAAAAACTAAAACAACTTAAAAGAACGTCATCAATTTACATCAAAGTTATAAAACAGCATCCTGTAGATTTCTAGATGCAACTGATCAATCTGATGTCCCTCATTAATGAGACTCGAGCAGCATACACAGTATTGATTAACGAGTAGCTTGTCATTGATGAATATTGTTGGAACTGCTTGATCACTCAAAACTTTTTCATAAGTTATAAATTGAGCATCAAAATGCAATTCACAGACATAGAAGTCCTTATCTGACACTCCTAATATTGTCTTCCATTTCTTTGATTGATTTCTAGATTGTGGACATCGAAAAAGCTTGTTATTAACACTCTGACAGCTATTTACTGCACATTTTAGAATAATTGACATTTTTATTATTTTTGTTTTTGTTTTTTAGACGAGTTTTAAATAGTCGAGTAAATTCGTATAACAGAGCAATAAATTTTCAAAACACGGAGAGATTTGCTATAATTTAATGTTTTTAAACAGTAGTCTGCAGAAAACAACACTCTCACAATTAGAGAAGTCAACTAGTGTATCGGGTAGAAACCCAATGCGGATATATTCACACCGTACCATCAAAAGTCTTATGGATAGACCAAGATTTGCTCAGCATAAGTTTGAAGGGTGGGTGTGAAGTACGGCCGAGACCCATATCGACACAGTTCAAAAGTTATACCTAATTTATGTCATAATTATGTCAGCTACAAAAGCACTTAGTTTGAATTTTGTCACCCTCGGGAACCAGTATAGCTGATTTTGGTCCAAATCTCGGCCATACTTCACACTTATTTGAACCACATTTTCTCGTAAATGTTAAAATATTATTAAAAAGTAATTAATCCTGAATTATGTCGCTATTTTGTCAAGTGTTTTAAGATAAAGAATTTGTTTTTTGGTTTCCACAGTGAAGAGTATGAACCAAATTCAGATGGGGTAGTCGAAATTTTAGATTTCGATTTTTTTTAAGCTATGCATTACAAAAAGTAATATTGGTATGTGATTTATTTCAGAATTATGTCAATTCAAATAAAACAGACTTCGTTTTGACCCTCTCAAACGTAAACAAAGAAAATTATTTTGCCAAAATAAATTTTTAAATTAAAAGTATTAATTCAAGTGACTTAAAAGCTGTTGTTGCTAATAAGTATTTAGTAAATAGTATATAAACTACAATCATTAACGTTTAATGACAATTCACTTTTCCGGTTTGCCAAAGCTTTGAAAAGAAAGAGTTGCTCAATTCCTCCTATTACTGATAGTTTAGGCACTAATTATTCAGATAAGGATAAAGCCAATGCATTTGCTCGCTCGTTTCAGGAAACATTCAATGCTGTCAAAAATTCAAGTTCTAAGTTCGAAAATCTTGTCAGCAATTCCATTCTGTCGATTCCAAATCTTAACGAATCTCCTGTAGAATCGGTGTCTGTTGAGGACATCAAATTTGTCATGCAAGCTTTAAATCCGCGTAAAGCTTCTGGACATGACAAAATTCCCAATTGTGCCTTGAGAGTCTTGAGTGACTCTGCTCAATTTGTTTCATTGTGTGCCAATTTGTTTAATTCCTGCATTAATCTCTCATATTTCCCTAGAAGTTAGAAAATTGCGAAGATAATGCCTATTCCAAAAGGAAAAACAATTTGTAATTCTCCAGATGACTTTCGACCAAGCTCTCTCCTTTCTTGTCTTGGCAAATGCTTTGAAAGAATTATTTTAATGCGTCTAAATGACTTTGAGCTTGACAATAACATCATCATCAAGCAGCAGTGTGGATTCAGGACTAATCATTCCACAGTTCATCAAATTTTAAGAATTTCTGAAAATATCTCATTTGGTTACAACAAGAATAAAAGCACTGGAATGGCTTTACTAGATCTTCGTAAGGCTTTCGATAGCGTATGGCATGATGGATTGGTTCATAAACTTGTTGTGAATAAATATCCTAAATATTTGATTAAGTTGTTGCATTCATATCTTTCCAATCGTTCAGCATTCGTGGTTTGCCAGTCTGCCTTCTCTTATCTCTTTGATGTTTCATCTGGTGTCCCGCAAGGTTCACTGATTGCCCCACATCTGTTCAATCTATTCATAAACGATGTTCCCATTCCATCCAAAGGACATCTCTGCTTATATGCAGATGATACTGCTTTTTTCGTTCAATTCCCTTGGAAGAATCTCAAAGCTATCAAATCTGAGTTGTGTAAAACAGTTATTCGCCTGCAAAGCTTTTTCCTTGATTGGAAAATCCAACTACTAAGTTCATAATTGAAAATGTATTTCCTTCTTGGTTCTTTGCTCAAAAAAATTTTTTTCATCCAAAGTATAATTTAAAATAAAAAAAATCACAGCTCAATGATTCAGAATCGAAAAAAATGTTCAAAAATTCAAAAATTTCATGTTAATTAAACTATGTCCTTTAAATGCCAGATTAAAGATCTTAACTTGAGGCATATCCTATAAAAATATCTCGTCCCAATTTGATGTCTAACTCCAGAAATCATTAATTTAATCTCACCCAAAATTTGTTTACAATTTGTGTATGAAAAAAAAAATATGATTTTTTCTACTTTAAGTTGTTATTTGGATGTCTTGGAAGCAGTTACTAGCTAATTTAAGCTTAGCTTTACATACTAAAACAACCAACTCAATAGAAATCTGCGTATTAAGCCTTAAAAATGGAATTGAAATCTGAGTATTTTTACACTACTTAAACTATTCATAAGTTAAAAAGTCTTCCAAAGACCTCTCTGAAACCTATATAAATCGATCGATTAAGCTTAAATCTATCTCCCATACAACTGGGGACATGCCGTTTGATGCCGTTTTCGAGATATTTGCGATCAAAGTTTACATAAATTTTCATACAAAATTTGATCATGCACAATATTTTTTGATAAACTTTTACAAACTTTTGGTAAAAAATCATGTTTATCCTTTATATTAGGGACTAATTTTTTGAGCAATGAACGAAAACATTATGTAGATGATGCTAAAAGATTCAAATCAAGAGAAATTAACAAAAACTTTCAATTTTCTAATGTGTTGGAAAAATATTGTGCACAAGGAATTTTTGAACATTTTTTCCGAATCTGAATCATTGCACAATGATTCAGATTCGGAAAAAATGTTCAAAAATTCCTTGTGCACAATATTTTTCTGACACATTAGAAAATTGAAAGTTTTTGTTGATTTCTTTTGATTTGATTCTTTTAGCATCTTCTACATAATATTTTCGTTCATTGCTCAAAAAATCAGTCCTTAATATAAAGGATAAACATGTTTTTTTATCAAAAGTTTGTAAAAGTTTATCAAAAAATATTGTGCATGATCAAACTTTGTATGAAATTTTATGTAAACTTTGATCGCAAATATCTCGAAAACGGCATCAAACGGCATGTCCTCAGTAATATGGGAGATAGATTAAAGCTTATTTAATTGATTTATATAGGTTTCAGAGAGGTCTTTGGAAGACTTTTTAACTTATGAATAGTTTAAGTTTTGTAAAAATACTCAGATTTCAATTCCATTTTTAAGGCTTAATAAGCAGATTTCTATTGAGTTGGTTGTTTTAATATGTAGAGCTAAGCTTAAATTAGCTAGCAACTGCTTTCAAGACATCCAAATAACAACTTAAAGTAGAAAAAATCACATTTCTTTTTTCATACTCAAATTGTAAACAAATTTTGGGTGAGATTAAATTAATGATTTCTGGAGTTAGACAGCAAATAGGAACGAGATATTTTTAAAGGATATGCACAAAGGAAAGATCTTTTATCTGGCATTTAAAAGACAAAGTTTAATTAACATGAAATTTTTGAATTTTTGAACATTTTTTTCGATTCTGAATCATTGTGCATTGTGCACAGTGAACTTTCAATTTGAAAAATTCGTAAGAAAGGAAAGTTTTTTGCTTTTTCTGAAGCAACGGCTGTTCCTACCTTGCCCAAAAACAATACAGCTCTTCTATAGAGCAGCATGGATCAAATGTAAAAAACTAGAAGTCTCTACAAGGTTACCGTGCTTGCTTGCTTGTTTGCTTACAGAAAGCGTATTTTGCGATTTTCTCAGCAATGCCACAACCAATTTGAAATCTGTTTTTTGAAAATGATGTAAAATTTCAGGCACAAACTTTTCATCTCTGAACGTTTTATAACCAATTTTGCTTTGTTTTCTTACAAAATGCGAAAAACTGATTTTTCAATCTGAACAAAACCAATAGATTCACACGTGAAAACGGTGTGAATATAAAAATCTTTTAAAATTGAGGCAATTCTGAAAGGTTTCAAATATATTTAAGTATGAAATGAAGATTTTTTTTTCTCATAAATATCTTTTCAGATGCTGTAAACCTTTTAAAATTGCAATTTTCATTCTTTCAGCAGTGTACTTTTCAGCGAATGCGAACGAAATTGGTGTGCACCTTGAGTATTGCTTAAAAACTGTTAAAAATCTAAATTTTATAAAACCGTTACAAATTAAACATTTTAAACAATAAAAACTAATGATATTATAAATAAAATAATAACTTTATTGTTGAGTCGAATTTAAACATTCTGCAATATTTGAGGTACAAGGCTAAAACATAAAATAATGAAATAAATTAAATCATAATTTAATAAATAATAAAAAGTAAAAGGGTCGTTTGCAAATTACGTCACGCATTAGGGGGAAGATGGGAGTTGAAGACTTTGTGTTCAACCAAATTTTGGGAAAAGGGAGGTAGATAATTAAAGGTGTTTTCTAAAAAAGTGAAAACAACACCAATTTCTGACAAATGTTTATTATTACTATTTATTATCAGTTAATATGAAATATTAAATTGTTGTAGATTCATTTTTGCTCATAGTTTTTATAACTAGCTACATATCCATCCTGTAGTCTAATACTTACTCTATTTATCGAATTCCTTCTAATTTCTTGGGAATTATCATCAATGCACAAATCACTATCAGAGTCTATCCTTCTAGATTGATTTGACTGTGTTAATTGCTCAGTTGTTGTCAATATTCTCGAAAGTGGAGTCAAACATTTCGGTAAGGTTTCTATTAATGTTGGTCTCGAGTTCGTCAGCAATGGCTTCATGTATCTAAAACAAATCAGATGACATAATTGTTGGGGAGTCACTGTTTGGCATAGACTTAACATACCTTGAATCGAAATTTCCCCAAACTCTTGCCAGAAAAGCTTTATCATTTTTCTTAGTACCTGCACCTGTATTTTGATGAATTATGTTACATTGTTCTGGGTTTTCGGCATCCTAAAAGCCATAAAAATATTTGAAATAAATAAAGGATCAAATTGTATGGAAAGGAACTTACAGTTCGAATGGATTGATACGTCAGCTGCTCAGGTTTATCCTCTCCTCCCGTTGGTATCTTCAGCCAGTTAAGGATGTAATTTGCAGCTCCACCTTGAAAAATGACTGTGTTTATCACAATTAATGACGTGCAGGTTAGCATTGTTTGCCTTTCCTTCGAAACTGTATTTCTTATTGCTAATGCAAAACTCATAGCTCCTCTTAGACCAGCAAAAAACAGCATGTGCTGAAAATTCCAAGGTAGTTTTGGTTTTCGTCCAAGATTCAACAGCCATGATAAAGGATATACATTAACTGCTCTGCCAAGTGCAGCTGTGAATATTTTGCAGAAATAATTCAATTAAAGTCATTATAATTTTGACTCGTGGGCAATTCTTTGGATGAGTGGAATTTGAAAAAAAGAGCTTTCATAATCCAATATCAATGAGTTTTGTGTCAATAAAAGGTTTTCTTTAATTTCATTTTACTTACTGTGAAGGAAAAATAAGCCAGAACTTTCGTGACTTGAAAATATGTTTGAAAATTTTGTATTTTTTCACGGATTAGGAAAAAAAAGCTTTTTAATAACTCGATGACACAAGAAAATTTTTGAAAGAATTGAAATATTTCATTAATTAATGACTTAAAGCACATAGAAAAGCAACCTGATTTGTAGATTTTTGTCTGTTTTATAACTCAATAGTTGATATTTATTATTATTATCAATAGTGTTTTTTTTTCTAATTTTCGATTCTTCGGATGATGAAAATGGAAAATTCAGATTTCTGTCATCGAGTTACTGACTAATAATAATAATGTGTGAAGGGCCCAGCCTTTCAGCTGGAGGCACAGCGACTCAAATTAGAACAGAATCTATTGTACCACACCCTTTAGACCTACAGTTTATAGTGGGATCCGAACCACTTGCAAGCTCTGCACATTGCAAAGACACGAGTACGTCATAAAACCTTATGTACCCTGCAATATACCTAGTCACAACTCGTGTGCGCAAGATGCCGTAAGAATTGACTAATATGATATCAAAAGGATTGTAGATTTTAGATTTTTACATCGATAATAATCATCAGTGTCTCTGATGGGAACGATTAAAAAAAATTCGATTTTTTGCTGAAAACTTTCCAAAAATCATCCAAAGAATTGCCTTGAATTGAGACTCACCACATATGAATCCCCCAATTATGAAAATAGCATCAAAATGATGTTTCTCAAATGAAAACATGGACACACCAATGTAACAAAATGTGAAATTTTCAGCAATAAAGTTGAGTAGCTCAAACAATTGTTTAGTCCGGACTCTCGACTCTTCTGACAAGTTATTATAAGTATAATGTGCCTGACATATTCCACAAAATAATACAGCAACAACACCAGTCAATTGCAATACTTCAGCAATTAAAAAAGTACTATAAGACATTAGGACAAATAAGCATGTCTCAAGAAGTGGAAATTCTCGAACTCTTGTAAATTTGGTCATCAGACTAGTTGCACAGCCTAAAAGAGATCATTTTGAATTTATTAATCATATGTCAAGGTATAAAAAGAGCTTGATAGCTACCCATAAAAGTTCCAATATTAAGTGATAAAAAGAAAATGACACACAAATCTTTGAGAGCGTGTAGGAATGCATGAGTTTCAAAATCACCAGTTTTTGAATAATATTCAGCATAATTTTGAATAGCTCCACTAAGTACGATAGCAACAGCATCATTAAGAACAGACTCTCCAAAAACAAGAGCATATAGATTCACATCTACATTCTTTTCGTTAAAAATGGCTAAGATTGTTAGTGGATCAGTTGGACTTATAAGAGCACCAAAGTATAAAGTATCAAGGAATGTAAAACTTGTATGATTTGGTCTTAATTGAACAAAGCCATACATTAATAAGCCTATAAATAATGATGAGAGTGTAGTTCCTACAATAGCGAATGTGAGGATTGTTCCGAGATTCCTAAAGAAGTACTTTCTTTTGAGACTATATCCCGCGTAAAAGATTATGCTAGGTAGAATTATGTTAAAGAATATTTCAGGATCAAAAGTTGCTTTGAGATCAATTTCATTGGTATTTCTAATAAGCTGTCCATGAAACTTATAAGCATAGATTTGATCTTTTGTTACTGCTGAAACATTGAGAATTCCAGGAAAATGGATATAAAGGTTATCTGGCGGTAAGCTATCATTATATCTTGCAGATTTTTCAGCTTCAACATGCAAATGTGTAGATGGACTGACTTTTCCACAAAATCTAATTATAGCTCCGACAATCAAGCCTGAAAAAATACAAAAGCTGTTCATTTTGTGTACTTCAAATAATGAAAGTTTGAAGTTTACCATAAATTACAGCTAGTCCGGTCTCATTTAGCCATGAAACTCTTCGAAACTTAAAGATCCATATGGTTAATACTGTTAGTGCCAACAAAGAGCCTAAAAATTAATTCAAAATTCATTTTAAAACAGTTCTGGGAAATTGAACATGAGAACTTACAATAAATCAATATATTCAGTGAATCTAGACGATGAATAGAATTTTCTTTGGTATCGATTAAAATATCAAAATTGTCAGCATTTCCTTCATTTACTAGGCAAACACAAGTTATTATAAGTACTGAACTTTTCATGTCTTTCTTATTTAAATTAATGTTAATATTTCATGTTAATAAATTAAAGAATTCTAAGTTAATTTTAAATATCTCACTATTTTGTAGAGATTCTGAGTTTACACTAACTAGATATACGGAGATATACAGACTGGCATGGGAGGTATGATTTGCTTGATGTATTCACATTGTAGATATAAATGATTTGTTTCATACCTTTTGAAAAACTGGTGTGAATATGACAATTTAAGCATTCTTTGTGTGCCTACATCCTTCTTCGTCTGATGTCTGGTCAATTAACAAATTAGTAGATATTACTGATTATCAGAAAACAGAGAGTAATGACCCCCCCCCCCCCCCCCCTCTGTGTCAACTAAAAACCTTTAATCCTTTAAATTTAAATCATAACCCCTACAAATTCTTGTCAAAAATCTTAAAACCATGCAAATGTTTCGTTTCAAATTCCAAAAAACCTTCAATTTCTTCTTCTTCTTCTTAATTATCTTTATTAAGGTCCTTTTTAATAAATTTTAAGACCATTTTCAATTCTAAATATGTTTTACATGTTTTTTAATTTTATAAATACGAACTGCAATACAGGATATTATGTGTTTTGGTGTTAGATTTTGTCGTAAATATTAATTTCTTTTAAAAAGTTTAAAATTTTGTCTGTTTCATCTTTTTCGTCTAATTCAAGTGTGTTGTAACTGATATTAAATTTTGAAATAACTGTTTGATTGTTTGTGCATTCAATTATATGTCTGACTGTAAGTGGGATGGTGCATGTGCATATTGGGGGAGAAGTTTTTTCAATAAGATGTATATGTGTTAGATTTGTGTGTCCAATTCTAAGTCTTGTCAGTACTGTCTGGTCTTTTCTTTTATATGTGTCAATATTTGTCCATTTCTTACATGTTTTTTTGATGTTTCCTAATTTATTTCCGTTTCTGATTTCCTCATTCCATTCTTCTTGCCATAGCTTTGTGACATGCTCTTTTACATGTTTTGTAACGTCTTCAATCAATATTTTATAGTTTGTGTAAAGTTGTTGTTTTGTGGCTTCTTTTGCATGTTTGTCTGCTTCTTCATTTCCTTTTATTCCAGTATGGCTTGGTATCCACATTATTGTTGTTTATGTAGTATTGTCTCGTAATTTATCTTGTATTTGCTGTACCATTGTGTTTTTTGTATGTGAGCTTCTTAATGACTGGACTACACTGAGCGAATCAGTGCATATGAGTGTTTTATTGGTTAATCTATGTTTTAATGCTATTAATAGCGCAAATAGCTCTGTTGTGTACACTGTCGAGTAATCGTGACATTTATATTTGTATGTATTGTCTCTTGTTACCACTGCTGCTCCGTATCCTTCTTCTGTTTTAGATCCGTCTGTGTAGATTATTTCGTACCCTTTTCTTGTGTATGTGTCTAGTATTTCGTTGAATGTTCTTTTGATTACTTCGTGTGATGTGTTGTCTTTGTTGAATTGTGTCATTTTCAAATTGATTTTGAATTTAGATTTTCTCCAGAAAGGATGAAATGAAGATTGTGGTTTACAGAATTTTGTGTCTTTGTTGATGTTCATTTTTTGTAGTTCTTGTCTCATGATATACGTTATTGATGGATTTGTCAATTTTTTGTATTTGTTGTCTTTGGAATCGTCTTGTAGACTAGGGTTTAGAATGTTTTTGCTGTTGTTTTTGACTTTGCATGCGTATTTTATTAGGTGTATTTTTCGTTGATGTTTTAGTGGGGTGATTCCTGATTCTATGTGGACACTTGCATTTGGTGATGTGACAAAAGCACCAATTGCGTATTTTGTACTTCTTGTGTATATTGTGTTAAGTTTCCGTTCATCCTTTTTTGTGAGTTTTGTAAAAATAAGTGCTGAATAGTTATGTATCGATGTTGTGACTGCTTCGTGTATTCGTAGCAGAGTTTGTCTCTCTCCTCCATATTTAGTGTGTGATAGCATTTTTATTAAGTTGATGTTTTTTGTTGTTTTGCTATGTAATTGATTGATCTGTTCCGTCCACTTGAGTTTATTATTAAAAATAACTCCAAGAAATTTATAGTTGTCGACGCGTACAATGTTTTGATTGTTCAATTTTATGTGTGGTATTTTAACATTTTTCTTCAGTTGTTTTGTGAAGTGCATGATTTTTGTTTTGTCTATTGAAATCTCAAGACCGTTTTTGTTCATCTGTGTACTTGTTTCATTAAGTGTTTTTTGTAAGTTTGCTTCGGTGGATTTAGTGTCCTTTCCATTGCGGAAAAGGACCAAATCGTCAGCATATGCACAAAACTTTGTATATTGATCTATGTTGTTGAGTACATCGTCGGACACTATGTTGAATAGTGTGCATGATAGTACTGAGCCTTGTGGAATTCCGTTGTCCATATATCCTGCCCACGTAACCATAAGTCGACGAATGGAAGATTTTATATATTACATCAAAATCTTCCATGTATGTTCCATATGTACATTTCATGTATCGTATGTTTTGTTAATTATACTATAATTTGTAGACAAAATCCAAAAACATTAATTAAGGATTTTGTCTTTGAAAAAAAGAGTCGAAGTCTTCATTTAAATGAATGATTCGCATGTAATTAATTTAATTAATTAATCACACTTTGTACGAAAATTTGGCTGTGCCTTATATAAGTGATTTCTGATTAGACTTGTGAAGTATATAGCGGCTCAAGAAAAACGAATGTAATGGATGAAAAATCGACGTCTATTGGATCATCCAAAAAATTGTACATTTAAGTCGATTTTTTCATTGACGGCGATTTTAGCTACGTGGGTGTGTCTGATTCTATGTTTCCTATTTGAATGTTGAATGTTCTGTTTTGCAAGAAGCTGTTGATGTAATTTACTATTTTTCCTTTAAATCCAAGTCTTTCCATGTGTTCTTTGACTTTGTGCGTCCAGACTCTGTCATACGCGTTTTTTAAATCGATAAAAACTGCTGTTGTTTGTTCTTGTGATGCAAAACCTTTCTGTATGTTGTCAACTAAGTATGTAATGATGTCTATTGTACCTTTTCCTTTTATAAATCCTGATTGAAAGTTGTTTAAAAGATTTTTGTTTTCTAATGTCCATTGTATACGTTTATTTATTATTTTTTCCATCAATTTGCATGTGCAGCTTGTAAGAGCTATAGGTCTGTAGCTTGTTGCTTGTCGTGGGTCTTGCCGGGTTTTTTGATTGGGATAATTATTGAGTGTTTCCATGTTTGTGGTAGTCCTTCATTTAGTATCTTATTGTATAGCTGTAATAACATTTGTTTCCCTTTTTGCGTTAGGTTTCTGATCATATCGTAATGCACTTTGTCAGGTCCAGGTGATGATCCTTTTGTTTGTGCTATTACTTCTTCTAATTCCTTCATTGTTATGTTATCGTTATATGCTTCGTTAGTTGTGTCTTCAGTAATTTGTTTCATTTGTGGTTGATTGTTCTTTAAGATTTTTGAGATTAGTGTTTAAGTTTTCATCGCTATAGATTCTTTTTTCGTTCAATTATTTTTTGTTTGATGTCATCATTCCAGAAAGGCAATTTTCTTTTGCCTTTAAATGTTTTTATATATGGGATTGACTTATTTGCTGCGTTTATTATTCTTTGTGTATCTTTGTATCTTTCCATGTTATTTATATTTGATACGTTATGCGCATTAAAGTCACCTGTCAATATATATGAATGTCCTAACTGTGTAATTAGATTTTCAAGTTCGTCTCTTAATGTTTGTGTAGGTATATTATGGTTTATGTAAATGTTACAAATAACAAAATCGAATGGATATGTTACGTGAACGGCTATAGCTTGTAAATTTGTGTTAATGTGAAAAAGAGAGGATTGTATATTTAAATTGACTAGTGTCATAACACCTCCACAAGCATAATTGTCCTGTGTACATGTCTTATTTTTAATATATGTTTTGTAATTATTTAATTGTGTGTCAATATTTAATTTAGTTTCTTGTAAAGTAATGTAAAGTGGTTGAAATTCATTAATAAGTACTTGCAGTTCGAATTTATTTGTAAAAAAGCCTCTAATGTTCCAATTTAAAATTGATGTTGTGTTATTCATTATGTTATCATTTCTTCGTCTTCATCTTCGTTTCCGCTTTTAGCATCTGTGTTGTTGATTCGGGATTTTTTGTGTGTCTTTTCATCAGTTGATTGTTCTTCAGGATTATAGTTGATTTGTCTTAATCGTTTATTTTTGTTAATTAATTGTGGTGTTTCTTTAATGTTATTTACTGGTGGTGTTTCCTTTATGTTATTTATTTGTGGAGTTTCTTTGTTGTTGTGGTAATTGCAGTGCTTGCAACTGCAGATTGTTTCGATTTGTGTTGATGTAATTTTTGCGTACGTTATTCTGTTTCACGTTTGAATAAATGCAAATCTTTTTTCAGTTCTATTAATCCTTCATCTTTTAATAATTATTATATCATATCTATTCGCATTTAAATGATGAAATTAATGTTAATTGTCTTTTAATGTTTGATTTAACCAACGGTTTTTGAGATTCAAATTATATCCTATAAGTTTTTACCATAAAATTTTTCGTAAAAATGAACATTCGTAAATTTGAAAATTCGTTAAAATGAACATTCGTAAATTTGAAAATTCGCAAAAATTGTTTTTCGTTATTTTGCTTTTTGGGAAAATGCAAGACACTCTTGTAAGAGATCCGGCAAAGCCGGGACTTGTCACTTTTTCGTAACAAATTTTTTGTTTTGCCTGCTTTTTCGGTTATTTATGAATGTAATCACTATAATTTTATTCAATTTGCGTAATTAATGTGTTCTTTAGTACTTTGTGTAGATTTGTTCTTTCTTATTATTGTTATTTATACTCAAATTTTTAATTTTGTTTGATTTTTGTTGTGCTTAGTCCAAGGGGCAAAGAACTTTTTTTTGACCTTCAATTTTCGAGATTTTAAAAAATTAGTAACTTTTATTCATAAAATTGATCATTTTTTGTTCATTAACAAATATTTAAACAGAGATAGTAAGAATCACATGGAATTTTCATTAAATTGATATTTAATTACTTTCATCTAAATGTTGCTTAATGTGAAATGACAGCATTTCTGGAGATATAAGTTCAGAACATTGAAGGCATTGAACTTTTTTGTCATCCTCACTTGATTCACCATGTGCTAGAATCTTTTTTAATTCATAATCAGGTCTAACTTCAATTTTTGGTTTTCTCCCACGTTCCTTCTTGCTATGTTCCTGAATTTCATGGATTTTATAAAGCTCTTGAGAATCAAAGTCTAACTTACATACTTTGCATCTAGTTTGACTGAAATGAGCATCAAGCATATGATTATTAATTTCATCAACAGTTGCAGCACGGAATCGACAATATTGTTGTGAGCATTTAAAGCGCAGCGAGTATTCACAACAATCTTTATGCTTCCTTAAATAATAATACGATGTAAATCCTTCATTGCAATCTGTACAGCGGAAATTCTCAGGCTTATCGTATGCCTTTAATGGTGACGATTTATGCACCTCATCAAGATGTAACTTTAATGTTTCAATTTCACCGAAATGCATTGGACAGTAGCCACATGGAATGCTTTGATTCTCTTGGAATTGAGCACGTAAACGTTTATTGGAAGTATCTTCACTGTCAGCAGAGCTGGCATATGAATTGCGACGCTTTGTATTCACATTCTGTTGATTAATTGTAATTGAATGATCATGTTGGATTGAATTATTGAGTTCTGGTGACAATTGCTTCTTCTCATGAATACTTCTGGATCTTATTTTGCGAGCTAATGATTCGCTGACCCGAACATGTCTTCGGTAATCTGGAATTATTACCATTGGAGAATTTGTACTCTCTGGCTGTGATAAATTACTGCTGCTGCCTTGCTCAGATTCATCACATTCTTGAATTTTTGGAACCAACAATGATGTGCGTCTTCCAGATTGAATCTTTAAAGTCTGTATCTTTGGATGACGTGATTGAGCATTACCATTTAGTGGAGTTGTTTGCTGTCGAACTATCTCATGACGTCCAAGTACTTCCTTTAATATCTCTGGATCATCATTATCATGATGTGTAATCTCTAGATTTTGAATTGGATATAGCTCTGGGCACTCATTGTCATCATCATCCAAGTCTACCTGCTCACTTTTGATTCTAGTGACACCTGATGACATCTTAAGTTCATGTTTGGCTCTTATTGAAGAAACAAATGTCTCAAAATCCACAAATTTCGCATGACAAACGTCACAAAGGAATGAATTCAGCGTTATCTAAAAAGAACGAATTGGATATAATAGATCCCGTGAACAAAAAATTCATTTAAGTATACCTCAAATGATGTTCTTTTGAAAAACATCTTCTGGATCTTTTCATTTACTGAAATTTTTGTGCTGCTCGCTTCAAACACTTTTAAGCAGCTTTGGCAATAATTATTATTTCCATCGTTGCAATATTCTTCAGGTGTTACTAATATTGAGGGAAAGGCATCTTGAGTAATAAACTTTTCAAATCTGATATATTTATCTACGAAGTGTATGTCACAAACTAAGAAACTAGATTGATTAACTTGAAGTATTTGCTGCCATTTCCTTAACTTATTTTTATCATCTGGCGAACAGAATAACTCTCTATTAATGCTTCTACAACTTGGAACTATACATTTTGCCATTTTTCTTGTATTTTTATGAAAACTTTAGTTTTTAAACAATTTTTTAACTTTTTTGTTTTCAATATTTTGTGCTTTTTAATTTGTTCTACTTTTAAAACTGCCTATTTACGGTTTTATTTGGTAATTTATGCATAAATGTCTACTAATTTACATTTTTAATATTTCTCTTTTTTGTTTTCTTCAGAATTATAGCACGTTTGACAGCCTTTTAGTTTTCAAAATTTCAAGGTCAATACTTTTTCAAATTCTTGGAATTTTTTTTTTAACTTTAAGATCAACGGTTTTTTTAAATTTGAAACTTTTTAATCCAAAATAAATCAAGATGTTTTCTATATATTCATTTTCAAATTTTTACTTCAATTCTTGATTCTTAAGTGACTGTTTGTACTTTGTTAAGATTAACTCGAATTGTACTATCATAATCAGCATTTAAGAGCCCAATTTGTTACTGAAAACGAAAATCATTCAAATTTTATTTTAATACTCAAGTAATTTTTTCATGAATTAAGTTTAAATTTTTAACGGGTTTTCAGTAAAACTTGAAATTTCAATTCAACGAATAAAAGTTCAACGAGTAAAGTCGTGTATATCAATTCTGTTTAAAAACATTAAATTATAGCAAATCTCTCCGTGTTTTGAAAATTTATTGCTCTCAGTTATACGAATTTACTCGACTATTTAAAACTCGTCTAAAAAAACAAAAACAAGAAAATAATCGAGTTAAAAATGTCAAATATACTAAAATGTGCCGTAAATAGCTGCCAGAGTGTTAATAACAAGCTATTTCGATGTCCACAATCCAGAAATCAATCGATAATATGGAGAAACATATTAGGAGTAGCTCAATATGACTTCTATGTCTGTGAATTGCATTTTGATGCTCAATTTATAAGTTATGAAAAAGTTTTGAGTGATCAAGCAGTTCCAACGATATTCATCAATGACAAGCTTAGTCAATATTGTGCATGCTGCTCGATTCCAATAAGTGAGGGACATCAGATTAGTCAGTTACATCTAGAAATCTACAGGATGCTGTTTAGCTATTTTGATGTAAGTTTATGACGTTCTGTTAAGCTGTTCTCATGGGAAAAACAGCATAATGGAAAAAGTTTTGATGGGAAACTTTACATTGGTGGGAATTCCCAAGCATGTTCCCAATACCTCTGGACAAAAACTTACGCCCGATATTTGAATTAGTTCTAAAATAAGAACCTTTTGAACTCCTTATTTTAGAACTTGATGTCCGTTAAAATTTTAAGAATAAATTCATGTTTTTTTGCATTTTTTACTTGCTAAAGTTACTTTAAACTAGTAAATATACAAAGCAAAGGTCAAAACTATAAGAAGATTAAGTAAAACCTAGTCAAAAGACTTAGTTTTAAGAAAAATTAATTTTTGCAAAGCTTAAATTTTGTAAACAAAGATTTGAATCGATTTGAAAATTCAAATTTTAAGCTTTTTTAACGGATAAAAGCGCTATTCAGAGGTATTGAGCATGTTCAACGTCCGCACAATGATTCAGAATCGAAAAAAATGTTCAAAAATTCAAAAATTTCATGTTAATTAAACTTTGCCTTTTAAATGCCAGATAAAAGATCTTTCCTTTGTGCATATCCTTTAAAAATATCTCGTTCCTATTTGCTGTCTAACTCCAGAAATCATTAATTTAATCTCACCCAAAATTTGTTTACAATTTGAGTATGAAAAAAGAAATGTGATTTTTTCTACTTTAAGTTGTTATTTGGATGTCTTGAAAGCAGTTGCTAGCTAATTTAAGCTTAGCTCTACATATTAAAACAACCAACTCAATAGAAATCTGCTTATTAAGCCTTAAAAATGGAATTGAAATCTGAGTATTTTTACAAAACTTAAACTATTCATAAGTTAAAAAGTCTTCCAAAGACCTCTCTGAAACCTATATAAATCAATTAAATAAGCTTTAATCTATCTCCCATATTACTGAGGACATGCCGTTTGATGCCGTTTTCGAGATATTTGCGATCAAAGTTTACATAAAATTTCATACAAAGTTTGATCATGCACAATATTTTTTGATAAACTTTTACAAACTTTTGATAAAAAAACATGTTTATTCTTTATATTAAGGACTGATTTTTTGAGCAATGAACGAAAATATTATGTAGAAGATGCTAAAAGAATCAAATCAAAAGAAATCAACAAAAACTTTCAATTTTCTAATGTGTCAGAAAAATATTGTGCACAAGGAATTTTTGAACATTTTTTCCGAATCTGAATCATTGTGGTCCGTCATTTCAATGTTTTTTTAATGCTTTTTAGCTGAATGGAGCATTTATATGCTCAAACTGTAACGAAAAGATGGTAGGAGTCAGTGACTTCATTAAGATTGTTGGACAAAATCGAAGAACTTTCGAAACTATTAATTATGATATGAAGGAACCAGTCATAAAGATTGAACCTGAAGAGTATGAACTATTTCCCCTTGAAAATGTCAAGGATAGAGACGAAAACATAAACATAAAATCAGAATGGAATAGCAGTGAACCAGATCCAGAATGGTATCCGTCAGAAGAAGAAGAAGAATCAAAACCTAAAAGATTCAAGTTTCCAAAAGAGACTACAAAAATCAGACAAAAGTTTGAACTGAAATGTGAAGTCTGCTATTTTAGATTTGAAACCAAACAAGATTTAAGTAATCATGTCTTTAATGTTCATAGCTATGAAGAGGAAGATACACGATATATTAATATGAAGAAAGCCGGTAATAGTAATGAAACCAACTATCAGAAATGTGACATTAAATGTCCAGAATGTGGAAAGAAAGTCAAGTATTATACTTATAAAGGACATTGCTTATCAATCCATTCCAATAAGCGTGACTTGATATGCGATCAATGCGGCAGAGGATTTGCAATGTTACCATCATTATATAGTCACATTAAGTCAGCACATGACAGAAGAAATTATGAGTGCGATATCTGTGGATATAAAACATGGATCAAGTATAGACTAAAAAGGCATTTAAATCAACTTCATAATGCTGCGTACATCAAAAAAAGCAAAGAAGAAGCTTCAAAATGTCCAATCTGTCTAAAAATTCAACCAAACAACTTTGAGCATCACATGAGAAAGTATCATCCTAATAACTATGACAGTGGAATCCGAATTAATCCTGAAACTAACAAATATCACTGTCCAAATTGCGTTCAAACTTTTATAAGCATCCATCACTATGAGAAGCATGTCAAAGGAGATATTTGTTCAAACTTTGACAAGTATGAAGTTGAAAGTGACAAAATACTGACTATAAAAACTCCTGGAATGTAAGTATCAATGCTATAAGAATCTTATCAAGCTCTAATTCCATTTTTTTTCATTAGATTCACATGTAATATCTGCAAATCGGTAAAGCCAACGCTGGTCAAGTTAAGAAGACATATTACAATGTTTCATTCTGGTCCAAAAGCATGTCTCATATGCAGCAAAACACCAAAGAACCAAAAACAATTCCTGAAGCATGTCAATGTCTTCCACAAACTGAGTATGAAGGAATACAAAGCTAAGGCTATAGAATTAGGTCACATCCTATAATTATTAAGAGTTTTAATGTAAAATATGAAGAATCTCATGTACTAAAAGCTATTAAATAATTTATTTTGAATGGAAAGCATTCAACATGTTTTTTTTGTTCTGATTGATCAACTTGCATGCAAGTAGCTTAAAAAAAACTCGTCTAATTCTCTCTGAATTACAAAAACTCATATTTGAAAAAGTGTTTGAAAATTCACACGTTAGAAAATTGAAAATTTTTGTTAATTTCTCTTGATTTGATTCTTTTAGCATCTTCTACATAATGTTTTCGTTCATTGCTCAAAAAATCAGTCCTTTATATAAAGAATAAACATGATTTTTTTCCAAAAGTTTGTAAAAGTTTATCAAAAAAAATTGTGCATGATCAAATTTTATATGAAAATTTATGTAGACTTTGCCCGTTTTTAATACGGGAGATAGATTTAAGCTTAATTAATTGATTTATATAGGTTTCAGAGAGGTCTTTGGGAGATTTTTTAACTTATGAATAGTTTAAGTTTTGAGAAAAAATACTCAGATTTCAATTGTATTTTTAAGACTTAATCAGCAGTTTTCTTTTGATTTGGTAGTTTTAATACGCAGATCTAATCTTAATTTAACAACTTAAAGTAGAGAAAATCGAAGTTTTTTTTCATAAACAAAATGTAAACAAATTTTCGTTGAAAAAAAAATTAAAGATTTCTGGAGTTAGACATCAAATTAAAACGAGATATTTTCACTGAATATGCCTTAAGATAAGATCTTTAATCTGGCATTTAAAAGATGTAGTTTAATTAATATGATATTTTTGAATTTTTGAACATTTTTTCCGAATCTGAATCATTGTGGAACGTAAATATCTCAAAGACGGCATTAAATGGAATGCCCATATTAATATGGGAGATAGATTTAAGCTTGCTCAATTGATTTATATAGGTTTCAGAGAGGTCTTTGGGAGATTTTTTAACTTATGAATAGTTTAAGTTTTGAGAAAAAATACTCAGATTTCAATTGTATTTTTAAGACTTAATCAGCAGTTTTCTTTTGATTTGGTAGTTTTAATACGCAGATCTAATCTTAATTTAACAACTTAAAGTAGAGAAAATCAAAGTTTTTTTTCATAAACAAAATGTAAACAAATTTTCGTTGAAAAAAAATTTAAAGATTTCTGAAGTTAGACATCAAATTGAAACGAGATATTTTCACTGAATATGCCTTAAGATAAGATCTTTAATCTGGCATTTAAAAGATGTAGTTTAATTAATATGATATTTTTGAATTTTTGAACATTTTTTCCGAATCTGAATCATTGTAGAACGTAAATATCTCGAAAACGGCATGTCCTCAGTAATACGGGAGATAGATTTAAGCTTGCTCAATTGATTTATATAGGTTTCAGAGAGGTCTTTGGGAGATTTTTTAACTTATGAATAGTTTAAGTTTTGAGAAAAAATACTCAGATTTCATTTGTATTTTTAAGACTTAATCAGCAGTTTTCTTTTGATTTGGTAGTTTTAATACGAAGATCTAATCTTAATTTAACAACTTAAAGTAGAGAAAATCGAAGTTTTTTTTCATAAACAAAATGTAAACAAATTTTCGTTGAAAAAAAAATTAAAGATTTCTGGAGTTAGACATCAAATTGAAACGAGATATTTTCACTGAATATGCCTTAAGATAAGATCTTTAATCTTGCATTTAAAAGATGTAGTTTAATTAATATGATATTTTTGAATTTTTGAACATTTTTTCCGAATCTGAATCATTGTGGAACGTAAATATCTCGAAAACGGCATGTCCTCAGTAATACGGGAGATAGATTTAAGCTTGCTCAATTGATTTATATAGGTTTCAGAGAGGTCTTTGGGAGATTTTTTAACTTATGAATAGTTTAAGTTTTGAGAAAAAATACTCAGATTTCAATTGTATTTTTATGACTTAATCAGCAGTTTTCTTTTGATTTGGTAGTTTTAATACGCAGATCTATTCTTAATTTAACAACTTAATGTAGAGAAAATCGAAGTTTTTTTTCATAAACAAAATGTAAACAAATTTTCGTTGAAAAAAAAATTAAAGATTTCTGGAGTTAGACATCAAATTAAAACGAGATATTTTCACTGAATATGCCTTAAGATAAGATCTTTAATCTGGCATTTAAAAGATGTAGTTTATTTAATATGATATTTTTGAATTTTTGAAAAAAATTTCCGAATCTGAATCATTGTGGAACGTAAATATCTCAAAGACGGCATTAAATGGAATGCCCATATTAATATGGGAGATAGATTTAAGCTTGCTCAATTGATTTATATAGGTTTCAGAGAGGTCTTTTGGAGATTTTTTAACGTATGAATAGTTTAAGTTTTGAGAAAAAATACTCAGATTTCAATTGTATTTTTATGACTTAATCAGCAGTTTTCTTTTGATTTGGTAGTTTTAATACGCAGATCTAATCTTAATTTAACAACTTAAAGTAGAGAAAATCGAATTTTTTCCGAATCTGAATCATTGTGGAACGTAAATATCTCGAAAACGGCATGTCCTCAGTAATACGGGAGATAGATTTAAGCTTGCTCAATTGATTTATATAGGTTTCAGAGAGGTCTTTGGGAGATTTTTTAACTTATGAATAGTTTAAGTTTTGAGAAAAAATACTCAGAATTCAATTGTATTTTTAAGACTTAATCAGCAGTTTTCTTTTGATTTGGTAGTTTTAATACGCAGATCTAATCTTAATTTAACAACTTAATGTAGAGAAAATCGAAGTTTTTTTTCATAAACAAAATGTAAACAAATTTTCGTTGAAAAAAAAATTAAAGATTTCTGGAGTTAGACATCAAATTAAAACGAGATATTTTCACTGAATATGCCTTAAGAAAAGATCTTTAATCTGGCATTTAAAAGATATAGTTTAATTAATATGATATTTTTGAATTTTTGAACATTTTTTCCGAATCTGAATCATTGTGGGGAGATCTAAAAAATACACTTGAGTCATTTATGAAGTCACTATGAAATTTTATCTAAATTCTGTGTCAAGTTTAAGCATGTAGTAGTTTCATAAATCCTCTCTGTTTTCAATTATACGATTTCCAAAACCAAACTCGTCGAAAAAGTAAAAACAAGAAATTTTAGGAAGTAAAAATGTCAAATTTAGCTAAATGTGCTGTAAAATCGTGTCAAACCAAGAACCAAAAGTTATTTCGATGTCCTAAAGTAACAAGCCAGCTGAAGAAATGGAAGAGCATGTTGGAAGTGACTCAGAATGAGTTTTATGTATGTGAATTGCATTTTGATGCCAATTTTGTTACGTTTGAAAAAGTTTTAAGCGATGAAGCAGTTCCAACGATTTTCATTAATGAAAAAGTGACGGCCAATCAGTTCTGTTCATGCTGTTCGAGTCCACTAAATGAAGGATACCAATTAAGTTCATTTCATCGTGATATAAGCAGCATATTGTTTAATAATCCAGCTGTAAGTTGCATATTTTCATTCCTAATTTAAATATTCTGTAATTTGCTGATTGCTCTTTCTTTAGCCGCACAATGGAGATCTTATTTGTGGATTCTGTAATGATAATATTGCTAAAATAAGCGACTTCATTCGTATTGTTGACGAAAATAGACGAAATTTTGAGACGCTGGATGTTGAAATGGATGAATCAATGATGCAGGAACCTCTTGTGAAACTTGAACCTCCAGATTATAAAATGTATGATAGTGAAGAAGAACCAAATGTCCTTAAAGAAAATGTTTTGTTCCTGAAAACAGAAAACTCTCAAAGTGATTCAGAAGATGAACTTTACGTGCCGGAACTGATTGATTCTAAAAGAAAAAGCTCTAGTAAGAAGTATCCAAAGTCACCAAAAGATAAGAAGGATTCAAGGACTTATAAATGTGAAGTTTGCGATTATGAAGGAAAGAACAGAACTCAAATAGCTGAGCATGTTAAAAAGATGCATGTTATAGACGAAGAGTTTAATTACGATGAAGAAATCAGCTATGATGATGGAATTGAACGTTCCTACGAATGTGACATATGCCGTGAAGTCTTTAACGATAAGAAACGCCTTAAAAAGCACTTTGCAAGTCATTTTGATAGGAACATAGTCCTTGAATGCTCCGAATGTGGTAAAAGCTGCAATGGACTTGCATTATTGACTGCTCATAAGAACTGCGAACATAAAGAGAACAACAGATCTTGGTGCATGTGCTATCGAGTATTTAACAATGTTAATGACATGAGAAGATGCCGAAAGAATCACAAGTTAACACTGGAATCTGATGATAATGTTTGTACTGAATGTGATACTTTTGTAGCATTTCCAAGTATTCGAACGTTAGCTACTCATAAAACAACAGTACATGGAGTTGGTATTCGATTTTGGTGTCAAGGATGTGGAAAGCTGCATTTGTCAGAAGAAGATTGCTCAACTTGCATGAAAAATCATACATTAATTAAGAATTACTTTGTTAAATGTCCAGATTGTGACAAGAAGGTTCGATACTCGTCAATAAGAGTCCATCGAATAGCTGTACATATAGGACAAAGAGACATAATGTGTGATCAATGCGGCAAAGGATTTCCAACCAACTCTCAACTTTTCAGTCATTTAAGGAGCTTCCATGTCGATAAAGAGGATAAGGAAACATATGAATGTGATTTATGTCCTGCAAAGTATTGCTCAAAAGGCGGAATATTCACACATATGAATCAGATCCATAATACTGAGAAAGAAGTCGCAAAATGTCCAATTTGTCTTAAAAAAATCTTTGTAGCTCTAGAATCACACATGGGGAACTTCCATCCAAATAACTATGATAATGGAGCACGAGCAGATCCAGTTACTAATAAATTTCACTGTCCAAACTGTATTAGAAAGTTCGGAGGTCTTAAAGCATTTGAACATCATGTCAGGCTCAATGTCTGCTCAAATTTCGGAGAATATGAAGTTGATGAGACTAAGAAGCTGACGATTTACACCGAGGGAAAGTAAGTCCATCCAATGTTTGTTCCTTCAATAGCTAGAGAAGATGTCAATAGCAATTTATCCTTAACTTTTGTAGATTTACGTGCAACATTTGCAATAAAGTACAGACTTCAATGACCAAACTGAGAATCCACATGAGACGTACTCATTCAGGAACTCAAACATGCTCCATATGCGGTAAGGTACTGAAAAACTTGAGAAATTTTTATAAGCACGTAAATAAGGTCCACAAAATGACCGTGAGGGAGCTTAGAGATGCATATCCGACCTAAAAATGAGTTTCATCAAAGTTGGTTGCTTTATAGTGTTATTAACTCGATGTCGGACTGGATCTGACAACATTACAGCCTTCCAAGTCCTGATCATCAAGATAGCAACACGAGAAAGCTGCTTAATTGACCTGAAAGGAGAAGAATACATGTTAAATTATAAATCTGAAATAAAGATCCTACAAACTGCATACTTGATATCTAATGTTAGGTATTTAAATTGATTTATTTGTTTCTTGTTGTTTTCATCGAAATACAGATAGTCTTTCATTACGTTCGATGCTCTATCAAAAATTAGTTTATGAAGATATATCATGCAATTAGATTTATGTAAATATAACATAACATTCTCAATAGTCTCAAATAGCTAGTAAAAGCATGAGAAAGAAGGTATTTAAATAAAAAATTTAATTATTTCATTCATAAATCGCAACTATCGTTAATTAAAGTGGATTCTTGTTGATTTCATGTTTCTTTTGGATTTTGAGGAAGATGTCTTAAGGGGCCGTTCACTTATTACGTTCGCATTTTAGGGGGGGGGGGGGGGGGGGGTTGAAAAATTGTAACAAAATGTAACATAGGGGGTCAAGAAGTATGTAATGTTCTAACTGTCGTCTGTCTTTTAAAAATACGAAAAAAATTTGTTTACAGCATTTTTTTTAAATTTTCCACCTTTTTAATGATTAATGAAAAAATATCAAAATAAAATAAATTATGAACGTTCAGGGGGGGGGGGGTTGTGAGTTGTAACATATTGTAACAAGGGGGGAGGGGGGGGGGTGAAAAAAGCGTAACTTAATAAGTGAACGGCCCCTAAGTGCCAATTACCTTTGTCTGATCTAAAAAGCATATCTTTGAAATAGCTGTCAATTTCTGAGATTATGCCGTATCTTTTACCGGTTTTTCAAATCAAAATTCAAATTTCAAATAACCGTTGAGATCTCACATCTTCAATTCAGCTCTTTTTAGACAGAAATGAAGATCCTGACATCAAACAAAGCTTTACACTGATAACACAAAGTACATGCTCAGCTTTTAAAGCTATCAACTTTACTTCCAATACTAAATTTGTTTTTCAATCCACAAGAGGTTAACATTTCAACAAAATCACTGAACTATCCAAAAGATCCGTTTATAACATGCACGCGCAAAGCATGTAAGTTGCGTATTTCATTATATTTTATGTTTTCATCATTTTTCTTTGTATCAAACTTGAATTTCTCATATTTATGATCGAAATTTCGGTGACACGAGAAAGTTTTATCAAAAAAGTCATTTAATTACATACTCTCGTAGAGTTGACTTGCTTCTTAGTGACAAAAAAACTTAATTACATTATTTTTATGTGTTTAAGCGCATTATCCGACAAGATTGAGTCGATTATGTTTGCACTTTTTCAATTCAAGCCTTATCGAGAATGAACTGTCGAAAGCTCTTTAAAAAGTTATGTTACGTAAAAAACATACGTAAAATTACGTAACATTTAGCTTTTCAAATATTTTGTAACCGTAAATTTCAAATCCCTTTAAATCGATTCAATTCTCAAATAATGTGCAGGAAAATGCGCTTTCGACGGTCCTGAGAGACCACGTCTATACTAAATTTGTATCGTAAGCAATAAAACAATTCGTGAGCGTTGTAAAAGTTATTGTTTGAAGTTTTTAAACGTATTATCATCAAATTCAATTCAATCGAGGGCTATGTTCTATGAATTCACTTCCAATTTCTCATTTATACTCTTATCAGATGAATAATAGGGTTTTGCTATTTAACATATAATCAACAATCATAATCAAATATATAATATGTGTGTATTATATTATCATAAGCCACTGTACCTTGCATCAAAAGCTCAATTCGAGCTAATGACGACTCTATTGATCCTAGTCTCTCTCTCTGTCACATACAATTAAAACAAACTTTAGAATAAAATTCAAATACATTGGCTGTAAAAAATTAGAACCAAACCAAAAACAAAAGCGAGAGATATGGCAAGAGACATTGTTTATGGACGTAATTTTTTGACTCTGAGACGATCTTTATTGGTTCTAATATAGGGACTATATAATTAATGCATTAGAGAGTCATACTAATTTGTCAAATTTGAGTATTGTTTTGTTTTGCTCACCATAAAACTGGAGAAATGTACCTTAAATTACATAATTCAATCTTCTTTCATCATAATATCACAGCCATCAAGAGTTGATTTGTTACTTAAAACATTTAAAGAGTCCTACAATAACTTTATAAACTTTCACGCGATTTTCACATGTTCTTTAATGTAGTTCATTGGAATTTCCTCTTATATTATTCATTTTTTACACATTAGTATAGGAAATTTCACCATTTCACTCTATATTCATATATATTCAGACACAACACTCATTATTACTCGTCTTCCTTCGCTTCATCACACAACGGCGTCGTATTTCCTTGATTATTCTCATCTACAGCACTTTCATTAACACTTGAACTATTATGATTATCAGCAACTGGAACTTCGTTGTTAAATTCTTCTTGTTCATGTTGATGATATTGTTGTTCTTGTGGCTCAGAACTATCAAATGAATCTTTCGGATGATTCACAACTGGTTCTTCATAGTTCTCTGTGCCTGGCGGTAGCTCTTCATTCACTTGACTACTCTCTTTCTCTTCATTGTTTTCATAACTCTCATTTTTCGATACCTGATTCTGTTCTGTGTATTCCTGATCATTTTGTTCACTATCGTATTCATCACGTTCTCTAGAATTTCCCCAACGCTTGCTACGGCTTGTTCTATCAAAACCACCACGTGGTTGGAAACTTCCTGCACGTCTTTCATTATTATCATTATCGTTCCATGTTCTTCGTCCCCCACGCTGATTTGCTGCATCTCTATCATGGAAACCTCCTCGGTCATTAAAGTTGTTGTTATAACCTAGGAAATATACATGAAAAGGATTTTATAAGTGGATTATCTTGTAGCTTATAGCATGATTTTATAAAAATTTGAGTTTGGAGTGAGTATGTTGAAGTATTTTGGCATCAGATAGTTTTACGTAAGAGATTGTCACGTTAAACTTAAAGATTACGTAAGAAACTCGTCTAATATGTTTTAGACTAGTTTATTCAAAGAAATGTCTAGCGTTATTTTTCATATCGTTTTCGACCGTTAAATTTTCAAACTTTTGTGCTCAAATTTTGGAAAGAGAAATCTTGAATAGGGGAATAAAAAGGAAGTAGATTTACCGCCTCGCATATTACCACGACCACTTGCAAAGTTTCCTCTAAAAGCAGGACCACCTCGTCCTCTAGCCTGATTATTAAATCCACGATTTGCATACGGTTGTCGTCGATCATTAAAATCATCTCGACTCGAATTGAAATCTGCATAAGAAACAGTATAAGTATTGGGATAAAGGAATGTGAAATATGCAAAGAATTTGAGCACATCGTACCGTTATTTCGCTGTCTTTGAGGCAAATTATCATTTTCAATTGTGGGCACAGATTGCGATAGTAAGCTTGGAATATCTTGTTGATGTCCACTTCTTCTACTATAACTATTTTGATTGCCACCTAAAACATACATTTGCATGTCATTAGCACAACTAAAACTACAAATTAATGACTGAATTGCTTACCGTCTCTTGATCGACCATTATTATCCCGTCTATTATCTCTATTGTCACGACTATTTGAATCATTAGGCCAACGACCACTTCGATTATTGTAATCAGGACGTGATCCACGTCTATAATCATTTCTATCCTTTTCACGACTCTGACTACGATTATTTCGACTATCTCCTCTAAGTCTCGAAAAATCATCATTCTGTGAGTCTGAATTGTTTGAATTATTATTACTACTACTATTTAGATTCGACATGACACTCGATGCTGATTGATTTGCTTGCATCATGAGTGAATTTATTGATGGCGGTGGTTGATAAAATTGTTGTAATATTGTTGCAGCATCATTAGGTTTTGTTGCATGCTGTTCATCTTCCATCTCTATATCCATATGATCATCACCCGTTGCATTTGATGATGCTTGTTGATTTGGTAGCGTTCCAAGATTAAAACCCATTAAATTTGGCGGTGGAACTGATGTTTTTTCCATTGTTGGCGGGAAAACCATACCCAACATGTTTGGAGGTGGAATTCCTAGAGGTAAAACATTAGGCATCATAAGTCTTGGTAATCCAGTTAATGGGAAAGGGGGCATTGATGGTAATAAGGGCGCATTAGGCGGTGGTTGACTTGTATCAATATTTGGGACATTTGCAGGCATACTAAAGAATTGTGGTAATATTATTCCCGTTTCTTTTTGTGCTGGTTGATGAGGTTGTTTAATCTTTTCTTTGACCCACGATGGCTGCGTTTCTTCATCATACATTCCACCTTCTTCTAGCGACTCGAAATCTGTACCTTGTGTTAATTTCGTATATGGGATATAAGTTACACCTAGAGTTTGATCGAAATAATCCTTCCATTCCTTTCCTTTAACGCCTTTTCCTGCAGCCCATGAAATCGTTATTGCTCGATTCTGAAGCTTGTGATTCTTTAGTGCTTGCATTGCTTTAAAAGCATCTTGACGACGATTCATGACAATGTAGGCACAACCTCTTGGAGGAATCATATCAATGCTAATAATATCTCCATATTTGCCAAAAGTATCTGACAATTCCTCTTGCTGTACTAATTTTGATAAATGTCCAACCCATAAAGTTGTACTGCATACCGATAAGTGTTCCTTCTTTATATCCGGTAATCCTTTTCGACGTCTCTCTTTATCAATTTCGCGCTGTTTTTCTCGTTCCTTCTCTTTTGTTCGATCACGCGATGATCGACGACGATTTCTTGGTGATCTAGATCTAGAACGTGTACTCCTTGAGCGCCTACGTCTTCCATATCGCTCTCTTGAATGTGATCTAGACCTACGACGTTTATGTCTTGTTGGAGTTGGTGATCGGGAACTTACATCAATTGGTATAACTTCTGGCTCGCCAACAAGCTCAACATCCTGATCTTTACTAATGTCTATTAGTGTTTGTGGACCACGTAAGCTATTAATATTTGCTAATGTTATTCCTGAGCCTTGTAATGGCTGTTGTTCTGTTGAATTACTAGCAGCTGGCATCTCCTGTAAGTAACGCTGTACGTCTATCTTATTTATACTCTGTAATTGCTTCAATATGTTGGGATCTTCAAGACACTTTGTAAATTGATATGGTATGCCTGACATTGCTGTTGCTTGATATTGTTGTAATGCAGCTGATTGTAATGCATCATTCTTATCCTCTTCATTCTCAGATCCATAATCATATTCAAGTAACTGCTTAAACTTCATTGATTCCGTTGAATTACCCATTTGTTCGGCTGAATGCATCATCATCTGTTGGAACTGGAACTTTTGCAAATTCGTCGCATTCAGCTAAAAGTGTTTGTTGTGTCATTAATGTTATATTGAGGTACAACAAATAGAAAGAAGCCTTACCATTTCCGTATTTGAGTCGTCTTTTTGGAGTGGCGATTCGCGCACAATATTCATTCCGTTTGATAATGCTGACATGTCGTTTTGCTGTTGATTTTGTTGCTGCTGTTGCATAAAGTTTTGATGAACTGGATGATCTGGATTGGCTAAATCAAACAATGGCTGTATGACTTCGGGTGCGAAAACATTGTTCTTTTGCCACAAATTCAGCACACGGATGATTTTGCTCTATAAAAAAGAATGATAACAGTCTTATAATGATGACTCACCAAGGCTACATAATTATGCAGGAAAATTGATATTTATTGCCATTACCTTATCCTCCTGAGAACATCGAAATAAATGAGCGAATGTCTCTTCCATATTACGTGCAAAGCGCGGTGCAAATACATCCTTCTCTGGTCCAAATTGATGACGGGATTGTCTTACAATTGAATCAATTACGTACAGTCCAGGGATCTTGTATTCAGGCTTACATTTGAGGATGAATTTCTCGACATTCTGTACGACATGCTTGTAAAACTTTATCGCTTTCATCGCACTCTTTGTAATTGCTCCCATTTTAGCCTTACTAATTGGAACTTTAAAGTCGTACAGCGAAAACAGCTAAAATTGAAAAATACATTATTAAACACAACTGGATCTTGTTATTCCATTACTATTGACACTAATTCACAATATAGAACTCATTGAACAGCATCAAACTTTGCAAAAGTGAAGATATTAAGAACTTTTAATTTTTAACTTTTTTTGTGAAATCGCTTTTTGTCAACTTTTCATTATTTAACTCATTTCTCACCTCATTTGTGAAATTATGCACAGGCTCCATCGACTTTGCGGCGTTATCCATCTTTATATATAGTTTTCGATATTTAATTCACTACTTTTGAGCACTAAAATAAATGAGAATACATATTTTTATATGGAATAAAAAAAATGGCTGAGAAAAACTTAATGCTCAATCCGAAAACACTGCTAAAATACAAATATTTTTGGACCGTTATTTTTTTTTCAACTTTTCTTTGTTCCTTTATTTGACTTAATTTAACTTGTTTCTCGTTTCTTGTACATGTATCAATAGAAAAGATTGTTTGAACTACAATTTAATTAAAATGATTTTCAAAGATAACAGCAACATGAACCAAGTCAATACTTGGCTGACTGTCCATTATGACATGACTTTCAAAGAAATTGTGACAGTTGCAAAAAAGTGATCATATATGTTGTAGGCAGGCATTAGGTCTAAATATCATACACATAATAATAATAATAATAATAGTAATAATGATAGGTAAATGGATTTACTCGTTCTCTTTTGTCGCATACTTTTCGAGGATTTGATAGATTTCTACTTTTGCTTTTAAATTATTGAGTGTTGTGAGTCGTTTAAGCGAACAGGCTACAGACATGGCAAAGTATTTATTTCCTCCATCTTCATCATCGACGAGCTCATTCCAGCTGTTTTTCCGCTTACGGTCCTTACATTTTGAACTGGTCGATGTCAGCATGTCATCTTCTTCTGAATGTCTATCATTTAATTGTACTGATTGCTGATCTGTATATTCTTCCTGGATATGATGATCGACTTCTGCAGATGTTTCGTAAATTATGCTTGACGAGCCTGGATTCTCTTGGACGTAACTCTGTTGATCATTCTCATCCTCATAATAGCTATCTGACTCTAATATCTTAATTTCAGTTGTAATGTCATTCTTGTCCATTTCTTCTCGTTTCGTCACAACGGTTTTACCTTCAGTTGTTTCAAACATGATTGAACGGAACTTGATATAAGGACTCAAAAAGTTTAGTTGCTTAAAGTACTCAAACTTAATTGGAGTTCCAGGTTCTAAATAGCTTCTTCTTAATTCTCTCGTATAACGTTCTCTAAGCGTACGGAACTTCTTCTTGCATAAGTTGGCTACATAATAGAATCAAAATAAGTGACTTTTATGTTCTGGATCTCAATATTAGCTTAACTTACGATCTGTATTGAATTCCTCTGCTATCTTATGCCATGCGCCATTCTTATCATCTTGTTGCTTGAATCCTGGATGTGTTGTATTGAATATTTCCGGATATTTCTTAACACTCTCGATGAAATTTAATGTATCAAGTTTTTTGTTTTGAGCTACCATCATTTCGACCAGATTTTCGTCTTCTTCGGCAACTTTTACATACAATTAACGCCTACAACTTCTTTATTCTTTATATTCCTGCTTGTTTACAGAATCTTTTGATATTAAAACGTTAAGGATCTGTCTCAAAATCGTTAAAACCTTTATGCTTCGCAAAACTTTTTAATTCAAAGCACATTTTTCGTAATTGTCAATGTTTACAGTCACTTTGTCTGTCTGTCTATTGCCATCATTATAGATTTAAAGTTTCTTCAGATGACTTTGTTGTTGGATTTGTGCCTTAAAGGCTGTCAATTAAGTTGGATTATAGTTTTTTTTTGTAAATCATTGAAACACGTCAGTGATCTCGAGTCATTTCATTTTCCCACGGACTCAATTTGAATCTCAAAAAACCGTTAAGTCAAGTTTTTAAAAAACTGCGTTTAAAAGTATTCCATTTTGCTCCAATTAAGTAAGTTTGAATAGTGATAAACAAAAGAGTTTGTAAAGGGCGTCTTGTTATTCAGAAACTGCAGAATATAAGCTTTGTTTACCTGTTTCATGTGTACTAAAGTTTTTGTAAACAACAAAGTTTTTAAAATGTTTGTGACAGTTAATTTTGCGAAGCTTGTTATTGTTAAAATCGTAAAATTAGCAATGTCTTCTCGAAATTCACTATTAATTAAAATAGTTGCAGTTCAGGATCGTCAATAGACAAGTAATCATCTCAAGAGTCTTGAGAAAATTGGGGAAAATAGGAAAATAAGAGTTGAACATAACGGAAAGTTTACGAAAAGATGGTTAAAAGTGTACTAAAATGCTTGTTCTAAAGTGAGTTCTAAAGTTTTTTTTCGGGCTTAATATCACACATTTTCATTTTGAAAGATTTTCCGAATTAACTCATGGAAATTGAAAATTCGTCGTGTAAACTAGTGAATAATAGACATTGAGTGGTACTTGATGATTGAGTGCTTAAGGGATTAAAGAAAGTTTAAGATTAAGTGCTAAAAATTGAAATTTAATTTTTCAACCTTCTGGAAATCGCCGAGATTTACTATAACTATTCAAAATGGTTGGATATTAAAGTGATTGATTGGACACAAAATAGTATACATTGTATCAAGTGCATATTTAATTTGAGTGTGAACGTGTGGTGAGTTAGAATTAATTACATTTCTAAATTCTAACCTTACTTCTTCGAGAAAAGAAAAAAAGAAAAAACAAAAAAAAACAGTGTAAGTTAAAAAACGAATTTATTGATTATTGCGCATAAAAGGGGCATAGGACGTGCAATAAAAAGCATGGAAATATCGACTGCAGGGTCGTCAAATTCATATGCTAGTGTTTTAAACCCTTCAGATAATCCAACAACTACAACAACCACAGCTAAACAGCATAATAATCACCATAATAAAACTAATAATAATAATAATAATAGCCATCAGCATCAGCAACAAAAGTCCTCATCTAAGGCAGAGATAAACATGAATGAGAATAAAGAGAATAAGATTCCTAGCAAAAAGATTCAGACTGATAAAGGTGGAATTGCAGATGATAAGCAGCCCAAAGATAACGAACATAATACTACTACAACATCAGTAGCAGTCGTCGTTGCCACTGATGGTGTAAAGGATGAGCTTGATGAATCGGGATTTGTACCAGTTGTATCGCATCACACAAAGAAAGACAAAAAGAGAGAACGACGAAATGTTCATCAAGACCATCGTAATCATGATTCAAACAATGGAAATAATAGCAGCAGCAGCAACAATAATAATTCTAATAGCAACAACAAACCTCCAAAGTCAGCATCCACTGCCAAGTCACAAGAACGTTCAGATAAGCCACGACGTAATAGACGTAGGAATGCAAAAGATAAGACATCCACCGCTCCAGCATCCCAATCCAATCATAATGAATCGTCTGATGATAAAGCTGCTGACTCGAATGATGACAAAAAGCCCAAATTCGTCGAAGCACCATTGCCTCAAGTGAATCCATGGGTGGTAAGTTCAAACTATTTCGATTTGACTGCTTATAATATCATTTTTAATGCGACAATTTGTTTTTTCTTCTATTATTTTATTACATTTTTCATCGTCTGCTCTGCTCTCGCTCATCGAAATTGTACCTATATACATAATACACATAAAAAAAATAAAAAGGTTAAAACACTTACATCATCGGACGGAGACAAAAAAGAGACTTTACAGCCGAAATTAACAAAAACTCAAACGCCAGGTAACAATTTATTAAAATATCATGCATTTGTCACTACACCATTCTTGCTGTAAGCCCCACAAAAAGTAAAAAAAATAAGCCAGTAGTTCTTGTTTCTCATTCAATATCATTTCATACAATTTAATCAGCTCATTGAAAATGAAGAAAGAAGAAGAAGGTAGAGAGCAAAAAAAATTTGTGTGCATTTGGCATGTGTGTAAAGAAGAAAAGTCAGATCTTTTTGACAAAAAGAAAAAGGAAAGAAATGAGTTGAAATTGATTATTGTTGTGGGTGGTGACCAAAACGCATAATTGTTATGGCTTCTTATGAACCTGCGTTAAACGACTCGTTATCAATGAACTTCGCTCCGACTCAGTCGAATCGTGTTGATCGATTTTTATTTTTTGTGTGCTTTTCTCAAGAAGCCTTGCTAAGCATTGATTATTTTCTTGTGCTTGGGAGCCTTACAAATTTTTTTCACTTCGGAGAACTTTTGTAGGGTTTTCATATCAAACATTTAACTGGTTCTAGATAGTCAATTTTGAAAGAATTTGTATTGTTTTAAAACTGGACTTTTGAATGGTTTTCAATTTGTCTTTGTATGGTTTTGTACAATTTCCGTTTGAATCTAAAATAACCGTTATTTTTTTAATCTCATTTAACCGTTATTCCTTCAAAGTACACATAAAGTCATTTTAATTGATATGAAGCTGTTATTTTATTCATTGCACTTTACCGTTGCATTCATTTCCATCACAATGAGTGAGCTGATGACGATTATATAACTTAATTTCGGTAAAATTGCGAATAATTAGCATAAACAAACGAGACTTGTTAAAAATCGATTAAAATAGCAAAGAAACAAATTATCAAAGTAAATCGCCAACCAGACAAATCACATGCTACAATATAAACACATTTTTTTCTTCTCCGGCGTTTTTTCTGAAATGCGCGTAGCCAAAAACAAAAGTTCGGGCTCGTAAAATCAACGAAATAGAACTTTTAGTTGAATCTATTTCTTCTTCCTTCATCATCACTTGTTTTCACTTATCAGAGGTATCACTCTAAAATGTTTGTCACGAGTTCACGTATTTATTTTTCGTCAAATAACAAAAGTACTCGATTCTTTTCTATAATCAAGAAAAAGGAAGAGATGATGTAGTGACTATTGCCATGTGCATCCGTATCTCTTATCTCTTACGCTAAAATAAACTTATGATTCGTATTTTTTTTTGTAGATGACAATAATAAGGATTTAACAGCTTCAAAAGTTGTCAAACGCGGTGGAAAAACTGATGCACAGGTGAGTTGAGCGAGAAATTTGCATAAATCTTGCAAATATGTGCTTGAATATAATTTAAATGTCATCCGACGATGTTGACTATTCGTAGACAAAAGAAAGAAGAGAAAATTTAAATTTATACATTTTTTTTTTCGTTTATATTCATAGAATAAATTGGTTGATACATCTGATTGGCCATCGCTGGGTAGCGAGGGTGCTGTCGGCCCATCAAAGAAAGACTCATCATCAAATGGTGAAGCAAAGGATGGTAAAGATGGTAAGAAAGCGACAAATTCAAAGAATGGAAAGCCAGGCGAGAATGCTGAAATAACAGCAACAACTACAACACATTTACAGGCTGATAAGGCAAAAGACTTGAAGGATATTGCTCCGGTAGTTTCTGCTATAAATGAAAATGATGCTCAAAAATCAAAAAGTCCAGTTCCCGAATTATATAATCATCTTCAGCAATCGCAGCAGCAACAGAATGTCGTAACGACAAATACAGCAGTAGCAGCAGCAGTATCAAAAGATAAACATGTGCCTAAATCCATCGAAGATGGGAGTAAACGGGTATCAAAGCCAAAATGGGCAAGATTAGATGTTGATACAAAATCAGCATCAGCACCTCAATCAAATCAAGCATCATCACAACAACAGAATCGTCGTAGAAGTCCTCCGAGGCGCCGAGGTGATGATTATCGTGATTATAGAGACGATCGCTCAATAAGACGAAGTGGATCAAATCGCGGAAATGTCCCATCAAATCGCAGTGGTCCCCGTAATACTGGTGCTCCAAATCCATCGGTAGCATCAACAACAACAACAACAAATAGTAGCAACATCAATAATAATATTACTAATAGCAGCAGTAGTACTAGCAGCATGAAACCTGGACGAGGAGGTTCAACAAATGCGTCTCGTCGTGATAATCCAACATATATAACGCGCAGTAACAGACCATCATACACAGAAAGCAAAACGCCTGGATTAAATGGCAATCCTATTAAGCCCTCAGATTCATATGATGCCAAAAAACCAAAACCATCACTGATTGGACGGCCAATTATTATTGAAGCTCCCATTGCTCCCATTGTGACAAATGTTTTTGGAACTTACTATTTTAACGGACCTGCACCTTTTACTATTGATACGATTGGAAACATTAAAGAATCGATAAAGAAACAGATGTAAGTGCTCTATCTTGTTTATTGTTTATTATTTTTGGCAACAACTCTCGCATTCTTTTGATACTTGACATGCCTTCCTCTCTTTTAACGGATATTTCGAATCCAAATTTTGACGTCATTTACGTCGGATCAAAACGATTTGAATTCTGAAAATCCGTTAAATTTTTTGAATTCCCAAAATCCGGTAAAAAGTGTTGTTGACGAATGCTTGTCTTGATTAATGAACAAGCATGTAAAGCATGTCGACGACAAAAACAAGTTTTGGAAACAGCTGTTAATGACAAAAGAACTAATACATTTATTTTATTTACAGTGAATATTACTTTAGCGAAGAGAATTTAAATCGTGACTTCTTTTTGAGACGTAAAATGGATTCAGAAGGCTACTTACCCATAACATTAATCGCATCGTTTCACCGTGTTCAAGCACTCAGTTCTGACGTTGCATTGGTCTTGTCATCGGTAAAGGAATCGGACAAATTGGAAGTTTATAAGGATTTCAAGATTCGCACAAAATATGATCCACTGAAATGGCCAATGTCGAATGTCGGAAATGAATTACCACCAGCTAGATCGGAAATTGAACATATTCATCCCCCAGCGACTGCAATTCCAGCATTTGTACCAGTTTTAATTCAAGCACCGCCTCCTCTTTCTGAAGTTTTGCCTAATATTCCACCCCCGCCAATAATAAGGAACTCGAGAAAGGTTGTCAACAATAATGATGACATTAAAGTACTGCCACCGCCAATCGCTACTTCATCCGTAGCAGCAGGAGCAACAACGACAACAACACAAATCCAACCCTCATCACCGCATCTGACTAACAATAATAATGAATCGAAATCGACGAACGTTGCAAGTGATAACTTAAATTTAAATCCTGATGTCTCAGCATTTGTTCCGAAAAGCTCGCCAAAAAACGAGGTTGCTAACGCTGTCATGCCTCCAACAGCCGTAGCTCAAAAGACCTCGGGGGCACAAACTAATAATACTAATTCTAATAATAATAAATCGACTGAAGACGCAAACATCTGGAAAGAGGTAAAGCGTCGCTCGAAAACGTCCCAACAGCAAAAGGATAACGCAGCATCAGATCATCATCAAAAGCCCGAAAAAGAAGAATTGGATTTTCAGTTTGACGAAGAGATTCAATTCGATGACGACATCCCTCAAAGTGGCGGTCGAATCAATAACTTTTCCGAGTTTTCTGACGACGAGGAATCGGACTTTGAACTATCGGATCGCGACATTAATAAATTGCTGATTGTTACGCAGGTTAAAAGTCGTCCGCCCAAGCATGAAGGTGACTATCCAATACTCTTTGTTTATTTTGGCACATTTTTCCGAGTATGTGACTATAAACTAGTCAGTGTAAGCTGGGAAAATGTGCTATTGTTTAAATAATGCTGCAGACATGCAGTATTGATCGTGTTCCATACCTCAATAGTATCTACAATATTTTGTGTCCTTTATTTTAGGCTACGATCGCACAGGTGATTGGTCAACTCGTGTTAAAATTAGTCAAGATTTGGAGCAAGTCATCAATGATGGTTTGCATAACTATGAAGAAGATTTATCAGTTGATAGACCGACCCATAAGTCGGTTAATGTTATTACACAAGAGGAATTTGAAAAGATTATACCGAGAGCACCTAAAATAATAAATCCAGAAGTTCCGCCAGCACCGCCGACGACTTTAGACGAAAAGGAATTGAATCGACGATTGACGACTTTATCACATGGAAAACGGACGAAATTCTTTGCTGTTAATAAGACAGACACAGATTTAGATCCACGTACGCCGAGAAAACGTAAAACAAGACATTCACTTAATCCACCCGTTGAAGGACACGTTGGATGGGTTTTGGACAGTGTTGAGCACCGTCCACGTACATCAAGTATCGGCAGTTCAGCAGGCACAAGTCCAAGTACAAGTTATGGTTCGGTGCCGCAAAGTTTACCAGCATTTCAGCATCCATCACATTCGCTTTTACGTGAAAACAACTTTACTCAACAGGCATATCACAAATTTCGTAGTCGTTGCCTAAAAGAACGCAAACGTCTTGGACCCGGTCAATCGCAGGAAATGAATACACTCTTTCGTTTTTGGTCATTCTTTTTGCGCGAGAATTTCAACAAGACGATCTACGATGAATTCAGAAAAGTTTCGGTCGAAGACGCTGCACTCGGCTTTCGTTATGGTCTTGAATGTCTCTTTCGTTTCTATTCGTATGGTTTAGAGAAGAAGTTTAGAGCACAGGTGTATGAGGACTTTCAAACTGAAACAATGAATGATTTTGAAAGCGGTAAGTAATCTCCTTTTTCTTTTTTGGTGCATTGCTACATGATTTAGCTCAATTATCGTGCTGTCAATTGATCTGTATCATCTAAGCATTTGTGAATTTAAAGTTCTTAACGTACATTTTCAATTTGAATAATTTTGTTAAACATTAGTCGAGTATTTCGACCATTATGTTTTGAAAGCTTAAATTTCTTAAAACCGTTAAAATTTAAATGAAATCGGTTTGAATTTGAAAAGTCAGTTAAAATTTAAATTTTTCAAAACCGTTGAATTTTAGACGAGTTCAGTTTGAATTTGGAAAGACCGTTAAAAATTATTTTATTTTGAGACAAACCTCCAAATCAATACATGCATGGCATGCGATAATGTGCTAGAATAGTCGATTTTCACTCTTGCAACAACAAAATACTAATCGAACACGTGTTTTTTCGTCTCTTGTTATTCTCGTATAGGTCAACTGTATGGGTTAGAGAAATTCTGGGCATTCATGAAATATTACAAAAACGCAGATCAATTAGAAGTTGGTGATAAATTGTGTGGCTATTTAAGTAAATTTAAAACAATTGATGACTTTCGCGTTGATGAACCGGACGAAAATTACGTTCAAAGTGGTGCAGGATCGCTAAAGCAGTCACAACAGGGTGGCAATAAAAAGCGTCACCGTACATCATCAGACACAAATGATATAACAACAACGACGACAGCAACTGCCCAGAACGATGCTACAAACTAAATTGAATTGAACTACTAATAAAAACAATTTGATTGACACCAGCTTCTGTTCACGATGTTTTTTAGATGTAATTGTGTTTAAGGATTCTTTTTTTTTTTTGATTGATGAATTGATTTTTTTCAAAATACTTCTTTTGCAATTCTCAAAATTTATGAGAATTTATTATCTTGTCGAAATGATAAAGAAATGATGATTTATCTAATTAAACCCCCGAAAAAAAAAAAACAATTAAACTAAAACGTTAAAATAATATCAAATATTTCACATTTTCTTGTTCTTCAGTTTTAGAGCTTTTTTTTTTAAACATAAATCTTTCTTTCTAAGGCATCAAATATTATTATTATCATTTTCTGCCACCTCCCACAAACACAACCCCTCCCCCTTCAAAAATAAGATAATTATTAAACAAACAAAAAAAAAATGAAAAAAAGTTTAAAATAACAAAAAAAACAACACAACTATAATAATTATGTTCTTACTTTATACCTTTATATCCAAAATTACTTCTTATTCAACTTTTTTTTGTTTCTTCGTGAAGGAAAAAAGTTTATGATTTTTTGTTCTCTTGCTTTCTTTTTTTTGATTAGTTATTATTAAACATATATTTGTCAAGATTTACATATTAAGGTGATGCTGATTAACAAGTTTAATTGAAAAAATACATAAAACAACACAAAAAAATTAATGAAATGATGAAAAAAATGAACTTTCTATATGTAATAATCTTGATATATACTTCATTTAATTTCTTCTTTTTTTAGTATCGATTTACCAGAATGTTGTTATTAATTAATTAAAATTAATATTAAAAAAATAATTGATGAAACATTAAAATAGAAGAACGAATACGCGTTTTTCACAAATTTATTCTTGAGAAATACACAGAGAGAGTAAACAATAAAATTTAAGGAAAAAAAAAAACGAACTTAAACATGTCTTTTTAATTGTCTTTACAGCTTATTTAGCTTCAGTTTTTAAAATAGGTTCAAATTCGTCTTCAAGAACAGGCAGGATGTGACTGATTCTATTGGATTCATACCAATGTATGCAACTCAGCAATTTTCAAAATCCAAAAAAGACGTTTTTTGGCGTTTTGAAGGCATAGATGATGTCCAAATGAAAAAGTATATGTACAGAAAAATCCGGTCTCATAAAACACACATTTTTGTACCCTTTGAAATTTTTGAATATAAGTCCTTCAGGCTGTATTAAAAAAAGTGTGTTTTTCGTGAAACTAATAACTTACAAGCTTTTGCGTGGAAGTTAAAATGATTTAAATTGCATTTTAAAACATATCTAGAACTTATAAATGATAAAAAAAAGCTAAAATTGATATAAAATCGATATTTTTTGAAAAAAAAAAGCCTACTATGATTAAACAAAAAATGCTTTAAATTGCATTTTTAAAACATATCCAGGTATTATAAATGATAAAGAATGCTAAAATTGATATAAAGTCGATATTTTTTGAAAAAAAAAGCCTACTATGATCGAAACCAAAATTTATTTAAATTGCATTTTAAAACATATCTAGAACTTATAAATGATAAAGAATGCTAATTTTGATATTAAATCAATATTTTTTGAAAAAAAGCCTACTATAATCGAAACCAAAATTGATTTAAAGTGCATTTTAAAACATATTCAGGTATTATAAATGATAAAGAATGCTAATATTGATATAAAATCGATTTTTTTTGAAAAAAAAAGCCTACTATGATCGAAACCAAAATTTATTTAAATTGCATTTTAAAACATATCTAGAACTTATAAATGATAAAGAATGCTAATATTGATATAAAATCGACATTTTTTGAAAATAGCCTACTATAATCAAAACCAAAAATGCTTTAAATTGCATTTTTAAAAACATATCTAGGTATTATAAATGATGAAGAATGCTAATATTGATAAAAAATCGACATTTTTTGAAAAAAAAAAGCCTACTATGATCGAAGCCAAAATTGATTTAAATTGCATTTTAAAACATATCCAGGTATTATAAATGATGAAGAATGCTAAAATTGATATAAAATCGATATTTTTTGAAAATAGCCTACTATGATCGAAACCAAAAATGCTTTAAATTGCATTTTAAAACATATCCAGGTATTATAAATGATGAAGAATGCTAAAATTGATATAAAATCGATATTTTTTGAAAAAAAAAGCCTACTATGATCGAAACCAAAAATGCTTTAAATTGCATTTTAAAACATATCCAGGTATTATAAATGATGAAGAATGCTAAAATTGATATAAAATCGATATTTTTTGAAAAAAAAAGCCTACTATGATCGAAACCAAAATTTATTTAAATTGCATTTTAAAACATATATAGGGATTATAAATGATAAAGAATGCTAATATTGATATAAAATCGACATTTTTTGAAAAAAAAAGTTTACTATGATCGAAACCAAAAATGCTTAAAATTGCATTTTAAAACATATCCAGGTATTATAAATGATAAAGAATGCTAATATTGTTATAAAATCGATATTTTTTGAAAATAACCTACTTTGATTTAAACCAAAAATGCTTTAAATTGCATTTTAAAACATATCCAGGTTTTAAAAATGATTAAGAATGCAAAAATTGATATAAAATCGATATTTTTTGAAAAAAAAGTTTACTATGATCGAAACCAAAAATGCTTTAAATTGCATTTTAAAGCATATCCAGGTATAATAAATGATAAAGAATGCTAATATTGATATAAAATCGATTTTTTTTGAAAATAGCCTACTATGATCAAAACCAAAATTTATTTAAATTGCATTTTAAAACATATCCAGGTATTGTAAATGATAAAGAATGCTAATATAGATAAAAAATCGATATTTTTTGAAAAAAGAAAGCCTACTATGATGAAAACCAAAATTGATTTAAATTGCATTTTAAAACATATCTAGGAATTATAAATGATAAAGAATGCTAAAATTGATATAAAATCGATATTTTTTGAAAAAAAAGCCTCCTATGATCGAAACCAAAATTGATTTAAATTGCATTTTTAAACATATCTAGACATTATAAATGATAAAGAATGCTAATATTGATATAAAATCGATATTTTTTGAAAATAGCCTACTATGATCAAAACCAAAAATGCTTTAAATTGTATTTTAAAACATATCCAGGTATAATAAATGATAAAGAATGCTAATATTGATATAAAATCGATTTTTTTTGAAAATAGCCTACTATGATCGAAACCAAAATTGACTTAAATTGCATTTTTAAACATATCTAGAAATTATAAATGATAAAGAATGCTAAAATTGATATAAAATCGATATTTTTTGAAAAAAAAGCCTACTATGATCGAAACCAAAATTGATTTAAATTGCATTTTTAAACATATCTAGAAATTATAAAATGATAAAGAATGCTAAAATTGATATAAAATCGATATTTTTTGAAAAAAGAAAGCCTACTATGATGATAACCAAAATTGATTTAAATTGCATTTCAAAACATATCAAGGTATTATAAATGATGAAGAATGCTAAAATTGATATAAAATCGATATTTTTTTGAAAAAAGCCTACTATGATCAAAACCAAAAATGCTTTAAATTGCATTTTAAAACATATCCAGGTATAATAAATGATAAAGAATGCTAATATTGATATAAAATCGATTTTTTTTTTAAAATAGCCTACTATTATCAAAACCAAAATTTTTTTAAAAATTGCATTTTAAAACATATCCAGGTATTATAAATGATAAAGAATGCTAATAAAGATAAAAAATCGATATTTTTTGAAAAAAGAAAGCCTACTATGATGAAAACCAAAATTGATTTAAATTGCATTTTAAAACATATCTAGGAATTATAAATGATAAAGAATGCTAAAATTGATATAAAATCGATATTTTTTGAAAAAAAAGCCTCCTATGATGGAAACCAAAATTGATTTAAATTGCATTTTTAAACATATCTAGACATTATAAATGATAAAGAATGCTAAAATTGATATAAAATCGATATTTTTTGAAAAAAAAGCCTACTATGATCGAAACCAAAATTGATTTAAATTGCATTTTTAAACATATCTAGAAAATATAAATGATAAAGAATGCTAAAATTGATATAAAATCGATATTTTTTGAAAAAAAAGCCTACTATGATCGAAACCAAAATTGATTAAAATTGCATTTTTAAACATATCTAGACATTATAAATGATAAAGAATGCTAATATTGATATAAAATCGATTTTTTTTGAAAATAGCCTACTATGATCAAAACCAAAATTGATTTAAATTGCATTTCAAAACATATCCAGGTATAATAAGTGATAAAGAATGCTAATATTGATATAAAATCGATTTTTTTTGAAAAAAAAAAGCCTCCTATGATCGAAACCAAAATTTATTTAAATTGCATTTTTAAACATATCTAGACATTATAAATGATAAAGAATGCTAATATTGATATAAAATCGATATTTTTTGACAATAGCCTACTATGATCAAAACCAAAAATGCTTTAAATTGCATTTTAAAACATATCCAGGTATAATAAATGATAAAGAATGCTAATATTGATATAAAATCGATTTTTTTTGAAAATAGCCTACTATGATCAAAACCAAAATTTATTTAAATTGCATTTTAAAACATATCCAGGTATTATAAATGATAAAGAATGCTAATATAGATAAAAAATCGATATTTTTTGAAAAAAGAAAGCCTACTATGATGAAAACCAAATTTGATTTAAATTGCATTATAAAACATATCTAGGAATTATAAATGATAAAGAATGCTAAAATTGATATAAAATCGATATTTTTTGAAAAAAAAGCCTCCTATGATCGAAACCAAAATTGATTTAAATTGCATTTTTAAACATATCTAGACATTATAAATGATAAAAAATGCTAATATTGATATAAAATCGATATTTTTTGACAATAGCCTACTATGATCAAAACCAAAAATGCTTTAAATTGCATTTTAAAACATATCCAGGTATAATAAATGATAAAGAATGCTAATATTGATATAAAATCGATTTTTTTTGAAAATAGCCTACTATGATCAAAACCAAAATTTATTTAAATTGCATTTTAAAACATATCCAGGTATTATAAATGATAAAGAATGCTAATATAGATAAAAAATCGATATTTTTTGAAAAAAGAAAGCCTACTATGATGAAAACCAAAATTGATTTAAATTGCATTATAAAACATATCTAGGAATTATAAATGATAAAGAATGCTAAAATTGATATAAAATCGATATTTTTTGAAAAAAAAGCCTCCTATGATCGAAACCAAAATTGATTTAAATTGCATTTTTAAACATATCTAGACATTATAAATGATAAAGAATGCTAATATTGATATAAAATCGATTTTTTTTGAAAATAGCCTACTATGATCAAAACCAAAATTTATTTAAATTGCATTTTAAAACATATCCAGGTATTATAAATGATAAAGAATGCTAATATAGATAAAAAATCGATATTTTTTGAAAAAAGAAAGCCTACTATGATGAAAACCAAAATTGATTTAAATTGCATTATAAAACATATCTAGGAATTATAAATGATAAAGAATGCTAATATTGATATAAAATCGATTTTTTTTGAAAATAGCCTACTATGATCAAAACCAAAATTTATTTAAATTGCATTTTAAAACATATCCAGGTATTATAAATGATAAAGAATGCTAATATAGATAAAAAATCGATATTTTTTGAAAAAAGAAAGCCTACTATGATGAAAACCAAATTTGATTTAAATTGCATTATAAAACATATCTAGGAATTATAAATGATAAAGAATGCTAAAATTGATATAAAATCGATATTTTTTGAAAAAAAAGCCTCCTATGATCGAAACCAAAATTGATTTAAATTGCATTTTTAAACATATCTAGACATTAT